CTTCTGACCCAGCTTCTTGTTAATGTGCCTGGGAAGCCAGCAGAGGCTGGCCCGCCTGCCTGGGCTCTTGTACCCACATGGTGAGACGCGGCCACGGCCGTGCCTGTGGCACTCCCATTGCACCAGCTCCACACTGGCTGGGCTGCAGTGGCATTTCACGTGCCTCTCGTGGCTTGCAGGCGGGGTGGGCCTGAGGAGGCGGAGCTACTGCCTGAGAAATGCTCACCTCTGCCGAGCCCAGAAAGTCTTATGGAATCCCGGGAACTAGCCAGACCTGCGGCAGTGCGGGGTGCTGGGGGCAGGGTGAGTTCATGCTGGTCTGGGGCAGGGCCTGCTTCCGGTGTGACAGGTCTGTGCAGAGACTGGCACGTGCGAGAAGGCCCCGTGCCCACGGAACCGAGGAAGGGCCCGCCCGCAGCCCCTGAAGCTGGGAGAAACCGAGTGCGCCCCACCCTCTCCGGCACCCCTCTGCTCCTGCCTGCGGGGTGCGGGCCTGCGGAGCTGCACACGGCACCACGCGTGACGAGCTGTCGCACAGGGTCCGACTGCAGATGTGCCGTAAGCCTCACAAAGCCGCGAGCAAGCACGGCCCGCCGATGGGGCAGTCGGAGGGATGGTGCCCAAGGAGGCCCTGGGCTCGGACTGGGGACGCAGCTCTGGGTGTGCTCACCTCGTTGGAGGAGCCCATGCAGGCAGTCAAGGGAACGGCAAGAACACGGCTTCTCTGCCGAACGTCACGTGGCTGAGAGCCGGATGGAAGTGCTGGAGCAGCAGGGCTCAGGAGGGAAGTTAGCGGCAAAGCCCAAGATGGGCCGGCGGGCGGAGAGCGAGGGTCCTGCAGAGGGTCCCTGGGTCCCCCAGATGCTCGTCTATTGCGGTGGCTCGCCACCCCTCGGATGCCCGTGGCCCCTGCCCAGGGGCTGGGCTCTGCCTCTTACACAGAGGGGTAGGGGTAGTTTCTACGAGCCGTGTTGCCACCGTGGCTGTGCCCCACGGGTTCGGCTGTTGGGTATCTGCTTGTCCGTCAGCCATGGGCAAAGCTTTGGAGGAGGGTACACACCCTCACCCATTTTAAAGTTGTCGTTCTCTGCCCCCATGCCTGACACTGCTTGTGAGGCTGCCACGTTTATTTCATTCCAGATCCCCTAGCAAACATGTGATGTGCGTGTGCGTTCCTGGGCAGAGCCGTCCTCTCCTCACTGGCCTGCTCGGCTCCTGTTTGCCCTCATCTCCTGTGTGCCAGACGCACGGCTTCGCTCTTCCCAGAGAGGCGGGTTCCTTCCAGCGCATGGCAGCAGCAGCCCAGCACTGCTGGCCGCCTGGACGGAGGAACCCAGGACAATGCCCTGCTCTGTGCTGCTGGGGTGCACACACACACACACACACACAGAGGACAGTGCCCTGCCCTGCTCTGTGCTGCTGGGGTGTACACACACACACACACACACACACAGAGGACAGTGCCCTGCCCTGCTCTGCGCTGCTGGGGTGCACACACACACACACACACACACAGAGGACAGTGCCCTGCCCTGCTCTGTGCTGCTGGGGTGCACACACACACACGACAGTGCCCTGCCCTGCCCTGCGCTGCTGGGGTGTACACACACACACACACACACACGACAGTGCCCTGCCCTGCTCTGCACTGCTGGGGTGTACACACACATGCAAACCTGTGCTGTGAGATGCACACACTCAGTCTGCTGTCACTCTCAGGACCCGACGTTTCATCACCTTGCCCTGCAGTGCTTGCACCTCAGAATGGGCATCCCATCCGTGGGTGGGCAGATCCACCCGGGGCCCGGCCATCGTGTGCGCTGCAGCAAGTCAGGTGCAGGGTTGGGTCATGCAGAGGCCGCTCCTCATCTCCAGGGAATCCTGGAAGCGACATGCCAGGGTGCGGGTCTGGGGTGACTAGGGAACAGGTGGCCTGCAGAGCTGTGGTCTGAGCACGCTGGGGCCTTGAACGCACGGGCTTCTGAACACACCCCTCACATGCAGTCACATGTACACACCCACCCACACATGCAATCACATGTACACACATGCAGTCACATGTACAACCCTCACACGCATGCAGTCACATGTACACACCCCTCACATGCAGTCACATGTACACACCCACACACATGCAGTCACATGTACACACCCACACACACATGCAGTCACATGTACACACCCTCACACAATGCAACCACATGTACACACCCTCACACAATGCAACCACATGTACACGCACGCAGTCTCATGTTCAAACCCTCACACACATGCAGTCACATGTACACACACGACCACACATGCAGTCACATGTACACACCCTCACACACAGGACCACATGTGCAATCATACATGTTTTCAGAAATGTCCATTGCTCCACACATTCACATGCGTGCATGTAGACTCTGACACGTATCTCACCCACATGCACAGACACATAGCCACCCTCTCCCACAGGGAACTTGGCCATGTGCATGCACTCACACACACACACTCCTGTACGTAGAGGCCATGTGTACACACGCAGTCTGCTCAGCCAGCTGCGCCTCTGTGGCATCAGGATTAATTTTTTTCTTAAAAAAGACCTATTTTTGTTGGAAAGTCAGATGTACAGAGAGAAGAGACAGAGAAAGATCTTCCATCTGCTGCTTCACTCCCCAAGTGGCTGCAGTTGCTGGAGCTGAGGCTGCAGTTGCTGGAGCTGAGCCAATTCAAAGCCAGGAGCCTGCAGCCTCTTCCGGATCATCCACACAGGTGCAGGGTCCCAAGGCCCTGGGCCGTCCTCAACTGCTTTCCCAGGCCACAAGCAGGGAGCTGGATGCAAGCAGGGCTGCTGGGACATTTGAATCCCAGTGTGTGCAAGGTGAGGACTTTAGCCACCAGGCGACAGTGCCAGGCCCCTCCCTCAGGTTTATTGTACTTAATTACAGCAGTTATAACTTGGAGAAATCACAAATAGGAGAGTTGTTCATCTTCCTCTGCCTCGTGGTTGCTTTGCCCTGCAGCGGGTGCCCTGGAGTGCGTTCCCTGCAGCGAGTGCCCTGGAATGGGTGCCCTGGAGTGGGTGCTCTGGAGTGGGTGCCCAGGAGTGGATCCCTGGAGTACCTGCCCTGCAGCGGGTGCCCTGGAGTGGGTGCCCTGGAGTGGGTGCCCTGGAGTGTGCGCCCTGCAGCGGGTGCCCTGGAGCGGGTGCTCTGGAGTGTGTGCCCTGCAGCGGGTGCCCTGGAGTGGGTGCCCTGGAGCGGGTGCCCTGGAGTGGGTACCCTTGCACTGGAGGTCCTGATGAGAATGGTCCTTGCTTTGTCCAAGAGGGATCCTGGCTTCTTGTGAGGATGGAGGGCCTGCAGCCTGGGGCTACAACGGCCGGTCCCTGGCTCTGCTGTCCTCATGGCAGCACCTGGCTCTGCTGTCCTCATGGCAGCACCTACCCCCCCAGCGGGCACCCCCACTTTGCTCTTGTTTCCTTTCTCCTTCCCTCCCCACCGAGAACTCTCCATGTATTAAGAACCAAATGGGGCGTGCACTCGCAGCTGATGCCCGTGGGGGGCTTGGGTTCGATGCCCGGCTGTGGCTTCTGACTCCTACTGCCTGCTGCCGCAGAGCCTGGTGTACCTGGTTGGGGTCCTGCCACCCGTCGGGCAGAGCCTGGCCTGGCCGCGGGCATTCTGGGTGTCAGAGGACTTAACCAGGAGACTGCCTGCCAGAGAACAGTGACGTGAGCAGCCCGAGCCACGCTGACTGATTGCTGTGGCTGCTGTCGGCCGGTGAAGCCTGACAGCTTTCTGCTGTGGTTGTGCCTCGTGCTGTATGACTCTTCTTGTCCTGGGAACCCCGAAGGTTGAGGCTCACGTCCTGGGAACCCGAATGAGGCTCAGCCCCTTGGCTCTCATGGCTGGGACCCTCACTGGCAACAGGCATGCATCAGTTAGTGTGGTTGTGTGTTGAGAGAAATGTGCGTGGACACGTAGGTGATGGCGTGTTTCCTTCGTGGAGCCCCTTCCGTGGGCTCCCGAGAAGGGGAGCGGCTGGGCCCGCACGTGATCCTGTGTGGACACGTAGGTGATGGCGTGTTTCCTTCGTGCAGCCCCTTCCGTGGGCTCCCGAGAAGGGGAGTGGCTGGGCCCGCACGTGATCCTGTGTGGACACGTAGGTGATGGCGTGTTTCCTTCGTGCAGCCCCTTCCGTGGGCTCCCGAGAAGGGGAGTGGCTGGGCCCGCACGTGATCCTGTGTGGACACGTAGGTGATGGCGTGTTTCCTTCGTGCAGCCCCTTCCGTGGGCTCCCGAGAAGGGGAGTGGCTGGGCCCGCACGTGATCCTGTGTGGACACGTAGGTGATGGCGTGTTTCCTTCGTGCAGCCCCTTCTGTGGGCTCCCGAGAAGGGGAGCGGCTGGGCCCGCACGTGATCCTGTGTGGACACGTAGGTGATGGCGTGTTTCCTTCGTGCAGCCCCTTCCGTGGGCTCCCGAGAAGGGGAATGGCTGGGCCCGCACGTGATCCTGTGTGGACACGTAGGTGATGGCGTGTTTCCTTCGTGCAGCCCCTTCCGTGGGCTCCCGAGAAGGGGAGCGGCTGGGCCCGCATGTGATCCTGTGTGGACACGTAGGTGATGGCGTGTTTCCTTCGTGCAGCCCCTTCCGTGGGCTCCCGAGAAGGGGAGCGGCTGGGCCCGCACGTGATCCTGTGTGGACACGTAGGTGATGGCGTGTTTCCTTCGTGCAGCCCCTTCCGTGGGCTCCCGAGAAGGGGAGTGGCTGGGCCCGCACGTGATCTGCTGGCATCTCGCTTTATTTCCTGACCCATGTTGATCTGATTTGGCCCGGGTGTGTTTGTTGGTTGACGAGCAGGTGCGGCGCCTGGATGCTGGCTCCCTGTAGCAGGGGACGGCCTCACGGCGTGTGTGGAGTGCAGCGTGGCCAGAGTCCACATGCGAGCTCCGGCGCCAGCGCCAGCAGCCGTTGGAGCCATGTTCCCACTGGGCACTCGCTGTCTTCCCTGCAGACTTGTCAATGCCCCAGGTCGTCGGGCAGAGGGACGCCGACCACACGCAGAAGCAGATGCCTGAGGGGCCCCCGCTGCTGCTGTCCTGCACACTGCAGGACCTGCTGGCCAAGGACAGCGTGCAGGTGGAGCTCATCCCCGAGAAGAAGGGCCTGTTCCTGAAGCATGTGGAGTACGAGGTCTCCAGCCAGGTGAGTTGCACGCTGGGCAGGAGGGGCGCAGGGGGCAGTGGGGTGACAGGCTCGGGGCGGAAAGCTGAGGAGAGGGCCGTCCTGCCAGGCTAGAAGGGACAGTCCAGGGACTGGCACCATGGTGTATTACGTTGAACTGGCATATGTTAAGGGTGTTGGTTCAAGTCCTGCCTGCTCCACTTTCTTTCTTTTTTTTTTTTTTTAAGATTTATTTATTTTTATTACAAAGTCAGATATACGGAGAGGAGGAGAAACAGAGGAAAATCTTCCATCCTATGATTCACTCCCCAAGTGACCGCAACGGTTGGAGTTGCACTGATTTGAAGCCAGGAACCTGGAACTTCTTCCAGGTCTCCCATGCAGGTGCAGGGTCCCAAGGCTTGATGGGAAGTAGAGCTGCCGGGATTAGAACCGGCGCCCATGTGGGATCCTGGCGTGTTCAAGGCGAGGACTTTAGCTTAAAGGTTTTTTTTTTTTTCAGATTTATTTTTATTGGAAAGTCAGATATGCGGAGAGGAGGAGAGACAGAGAGGAAGCTCTTCCGTCCGATGATTCACTCCCCAAGCGGCCGGAACAGCTGATGCTATGCTGATCCGAAGCCAGGATCCAGGAACTTCTTCCGGGTCTCCCACATGGGTGCAGGGTCCCAAGGCTTTGGGGCCGTCCTCGACTGCTTTCCCAGGCCACAGGCAGGGAGCTGGATGGGAAGTGGGTTGCTGGGGTCCGTGTGGTGGGTGTGGAAGACACGAAGGTGTGTAGAGTATCGTTCCATTGCAGGCAGGGCCGCAAGGAACTTCCCGCTGTATGGCAGGGCCCGGTGGATGTCTCTCCGTGCGCCTGAAGGCAGCTCCGCCTCCCTCTGCACGGACGCCAGCCAACCCTGGTGGGATTTCCGTAATCTATTTAGGCCTTGTCTGCCACTGCGGAGTTGGAAGTTGATGCTGCTGATAACGTCTTAGCAATAGGGCCTTTCACAGGTCATGCTGTCTCGGCTGCCCCCATTGACCACCCCTGATCCTTAGTTTCCTCCTCCTGTGATGCATTTCCTCCCTTAACTGATTCAAGACTAAGCTGTAGGATGAGGACTGTAGTAGGAATGTGTTACTGATGGTTATGACGTCTATTGAGAACTTCCTGACCACAGCGCCAGGATGGATAATATCCTGCTGAAGGTGAAACAAACGGCAGGATTATCCTTGGAAACACCCACTTGACCGTGACATCAAAAGTCTGAGTGGAGTTTGACTGGTTCTGTATAAATAAAGTGGACTGCTTTCCTGCATTGTCCACGATGGGCCTTTTCTCTCCGCCTCATGCATGCACCTTCGTGACCGCTACAGAAGGAGGGACCTAAAGATCAAGGAAAGGGGGAAAGGATAGATTCCCACTACACCTGGGGACTTGACACCCTTGATTAGCATGTGGTCAGTGGGGGAGGGAAACCCTGAGTATAGGTTCCTGCTGCACCTTCATTGCCCTTTGCAAGACACCCATCCATCCTGTTTCCCATGTTAGGGGCTGCCTCAGCCCTGCCCTCCCCAGGCCCTGCCCTGCCCAGGCCTTGCTCTGCCCAGGTACTGCCCTCCCCTGCCCAGGTACTGCCCTCCCCAGGCCCTCCCCTCCTGGGCCCTGCCCTCCCAGGCCCTCCCCTCCCGGGCCCTGCCATCCTCAGTCCCTGTCCTGCCCAGGCACTGCCCTCCCGGGCCCTGCCCTCCCCAGGCCCTGCCCTCCCCAGGCCCTCCCCTCCCCAGGCCCTGCCCTCCCCAGGCCCTGCCCTCCCCAGGCCCTCCCCTGCCCAGGCCTTGCTCTGCCCAGGTACTGCCCTCCCCTGCCCAGGTACTGCCCTCCCAGGCCCTCCCCTCCCGGGCCCTGCCCTCCCCGGGCCCTCCCCTCCCTAGGCCCTGCCCTCCCCAGGCCCTGCCCGGCAGACCTGGCCTCACTGTCTCTGTGCGGAATCCCGCCTCCTGGAGTCTCCCATGGGCAGTCTGCAGGGTGCAAAGCCTGGTCACATGCTTGCTGTTGGCAGTTTTTGCCATGCAGATGGTCCCTGACTTTCAGTATTTCAGAAATATGTTTCTTTTAATTTTATTTGCAAAGCTCAGAGACTGACCAAGATGAATCTTCCATCTGTTGGTTCAGTCCCCAAGTGATGATGACAGCCATGGCCAGGGCAGACCAAGGCCAAGGGCTGGGAGCTCAGTCTGGGTCTCCCCTGTAGGTAACAGAGACCCCAAAGGTTTGTGGGGATGCATGTCCTGCACACTGGCTCAGTGCCTCCTGCTGGGGTGAGCAGCTTGGAGTTCTGGTCCAGCCCCCTGGGAGGCAGCAGGCAGTGTAACAGCCTGGGGAGGGCAGAGCTGAGGGAACCAGCAGGCATGGGCCTGGGGCGGGCAGGGCCTAGGGCGGGCAGAGCTGAGGGAACCAGCAGGCATGGGCCTGGGGCAGGCAGAGCCTGGGGCGAGCAGAGCTGAGGGAACCAGCGGGCATGGGCCTGGGGCAGGCAGAGCCTGGGGCGAGCAGAGCTGAGGGAACCAGCGGGCATGGGCCTGGGGAGGGCAGGGCTGAGGGAACCAGCAGGCATGGGCCTGGGGCCGGCAGGGCTGAGGGAACCAGCAGGCATGGGCCTGGGGAGGGCAGGGCTGAGGGAAGCACTTGGTCACAGCTGCTGTGCGTGGGGCCCCAGGCCGCTGCTCTGGCCTGGCCCTGGCTGCTCTGGCCACCCGGGGAGAGAAACAGCAGATGGATGCTCCTTACTGTCATTCTGCCTTTTGAAAAAAAGGTGTTTTTTTTTTTTTTTTTTTAAGATTTATTTATTTTTATTGCAAAGTCAGATATACAGAGAGGAGGAGAGACAGAGAGGAAGATCTTCTGTCCCATGATTCACTCCCCAAGTGACTGCAGTGGCCAGAGTTGAGCCAATCCAAAGCCAGGAGCCAGGAATCTCTTCCGGTGTCCCACACACGGGTGCAGGGTCCCAAGGCTTTGGGCCGTTCCTGACTGCTTTCCCAGGCCACAGGCAGGGAGCTAGATGGGAAGTGGAGCTGCTGGGATTAGAACCGGCGCCCATATGGGATCCCAGGGCGTTCAAGGCGAGTACTCAAGCCACTAGGCCACCACATCAGGCCCAGTATTCCGAGATTTCAAAACTTTCTTGTACCAAACAAACCTCTGGTAATGTTAGTCGCCACAAGCCTTTTGAGGTCCCCTGTCAATGCATGTTGTACATAGGAGCTATGTCGGAACCCCAGCATGGTGAGCTGTGGGGCTCCTGTTCTGAAAACTCCTGAGCCTGTCCTGCTCATGGGTCAGGGACTCCAAGCAGTGACTGATGGGCTGGCCGTTGAAAGGCAGAGGGACACGGATCTGCGGGTCACCAAGTGTCCATCCGGCTGGACTGAGCCAGGCTGCAGCCTGGAGTCCGCAGCAGCATCCTGACCTTCCTCTGGCAGGGCCTCAAGCCGTGAGCCCTCTGTTGTTGCTTTCCCAGGCGCAGAAGCAGGGGGCTTGGTGGGAAGCAGGACTGCCTGAGCCTGTGCTCTGGGGTGGGCTGCTGCTGTCCCGGGGGCACCTGCCCTGCGGATGGACTGGCCAGCGCAGGTTCCCTGGGTCCCACCCTTTGCAGGAGGCAGAGTGGCTTCGGGGAGGGATGTGTGGTCCTGCTCACGATGGCCTGTCTGACCCCTAATCCTTCTCCTTTAGCGCTTCAAGTCCTCCGTGTACAGACGGTACAACGACTTCGTGGTCTTCCATGACATGCTGCTGCACAAGTTCCCGTACCGCATGGTGCCAGCCCTTCCACCCAAGAGGATGCTGGGAGGTACAGCTGGGGGCCCAGGGCCAGCAGGGTGAGCCCACTCACCAGGGTGGCATTGCTGCCACTTCCTGGGCAATGCCGATGCCAGTGCTACCTGCTGGTGTCCTGGAGGGCGCCAGCCACAGGACTTTGGCAGGAAAAGCTGCAGCCGGGCAGCTCTGGGCTTGTGGCTATTCCTGCCACAGGAGGAGTGTGAGGGTGATGGGGTGTGAGGGTGATGGGGTGTGAGGGTGATGGGGTGTGAGGGTGATGGTGTGAGGGTGATGGGGTGAGGGTGATGGGGTGTGAGGGTGATGGGGTGTGAGGGTGATGGTGTGAGGGTGATGGTGTGAGGGTGATGGGGTGTGAGGGTGATGGGGTGTGAGGGTGATGGGGTGAGGGTGATGGGGTGTGAGGGTGATGGTGTGAGGGTGATGGGGTGTGAGGGTGATGGGGTGTGAGGGTGATGGGGTGTGAGGGTGATGGGGTGTGAGGGTGATGGGGTGTGAGGGTGATGGGGTGTGAGGGTGATGGGGTGTGAGGGTGATGGGGTGTGAGGGTGATGGGGTGTGAGGGTGATGGGGTGTGAGGGTGATGGGGTGTGAGGGTGATGGGGTGTGAGGGTGATGGGGTGTGAGGGTGATGGGGTGTGAGGGTGATGGGGTGTGAGGGTGATGGGGGTGTGAGGGTGATGGGGTGTGAGGGTGATGGTGTGAGGGTGATGGTGTGAGGGTGATGGGGTGTGAGGGTGATGGGGTGTGAGGGTGATGGGGTGTGAGGGTGAAGGGGTGTGAGGGTGATGGGGTGTGAGGGTGATGGGGTGTGAGGGTGATGGGGTGTGAGGGTGAAGGGGTGTGAGGGTGATGAGTTGTGAGGGTGATGGGGCTGTGAGGGTGATGGGGCTGTGAGGGTGATGGTGTGAGGGTGATGGTGTGAGGGTGATGGGGGGTGAGGGTGATGGGGGTGTGAGGGTGATGGGGGTGTGAGGGTGATGGGGTGTGAGGGTGATGGGGTGTGAGGGTGATGGGGGTGTGAGGGTCATGGGGTGTGAGGGTGATGGGGTATGAGGGTCATGGGAGGTGTGAGGGTGATGGGGGTGTGAGGGTGATGGGGGGTGAGGGTGATGGGGGTGAGGGTGATGGGGGTATGAGGGTGATGGGGTGTGAGGGTGATGGGGTGTGAGGGTGATGGGGTGTGAGGGTGATGGGGCTGTGAGGGTGAAGGGGTGTGAGGGTGATGGGGGTGTGAGGGTGATGGGGTGTGAGGGTGATAAGGGTGTGAGGGTGATGGTATGAGGGTGAAGGGGTGTGAGGGTGATGGGGTGTGAGGGTCATGGGAGGTGTGAGGGTGATGGGGGTGTGAGGGTGATGGTGTGAGGGTGATGGGGTGTGAGGGTGATGGTGTGAGGGTGATGGGGTGTGAGGGTCATGGATCTGATATCTTCAGTTCCGGGGCCCTCGTGGGAAGCACATGTGGACAAGGGGCTGTGGCTGCCCAGGAATGAGCGAAGGGGTTCCCCCTGTTCTCCTCTCGGCACAGAGACCAGGACCTCCAGGGCTCCTGTGGGCAGAGGTGTGCAAAATCCCGGTGGTATCCCCGTTGGCGTCTTCTTGGGCACCCCGGCCGCCTTGTGGCATGGCTGCAGAGGTGTCTAGCAGGGCATCGGGTCTGCCACCCCGGGGAGATTACGTAGCTGGTGCTGCTGTGTGCAGATTGGCTAGGGGTGCTGGGAGGACCCAGGGGCCCAGGAGTCCCTCCTGCCCAGAGTCTGCCCAGGGTTCCAGAGCCCAGCACTCTCTCCTCCTGGTTGCCCACCCTAGGTCTCACCCACCCCCAACAGTCTGTCCCGAGCCCTGAGTGAGGGTGCTGGGCTGGCAGCCAGAGCTAGCCCCTTGGTTTCCCTGATTTCCCAGCCCTCCCGGGACGCCTGTGTCCTGGCTGGGAAGGCAGCCTGCCGTGTCGAGCGTGCAGACATGGTTTGTGCCTGGCTGGCCACTGCGGGGCAGAGCGAGTTGTTCCCTTCTCGGTGAGGATACGAGGAGTACTCAGGGCGCAGGTCCGAAGTGCTGGGGACAAGGGACATTCGCCAGCCCACGCTGTGGCTGGTGCTGAGTGCTGAGGGCATTCACAGCAGGCCAGCTTTTCCTGGAGCACGTGGGCGTCCTCCCAGGGTGGCAGCTTCCATGTGACATGTGAAGTTCCACTGTGGTCAGGTTTGAATGACCTTAGCACGGCGGGGGCGGGGGCAGAGCCCAGGCGCTGCTGTCCGTGTGCATGCGTGCGGGGGGCGTGGAGGGAGGGGCTCTGGGTGGCCGGTGTTGTCCCAGTCACCTCCAGCTGCAGGGCGCACCCTGGCCCTTGGCTGGGACACTCGGTGCCCGCTGCTGCGGGAGCCTGGGCGCGCTGGCTGGTGGCTAACCTGCGCCCTGCAGCCGACAGGGAGTTCATCGAGGAACGCAGGAGGGCCCTGAAACGCTTCCTCAACCTCGTGGCCCGGCACCCTCCGCTCTGCGAGGACGTCCTGCTCAAGCTCTTCCTCTCCTTCAGCGGCCCCGTAAGTGCCTGCCCCCGCACCCCAGGCTCCCCTGGGCCCCACACCCGTGCCCAGCCCCTGCCCAGGCCCCGCGGTGCTGGGCTCCAGGAATGCGGGGTCCCTGGTGGGAGGTGTCTCCTGAAGGGGCTCCTGGTTGGTTGGACACGATGGTGCAGCCAGGGCCTCCTTGAGCTGGGTGAACCGTGTGCAGGAAGCCTGCCTCTCACGCCTCCAGATTGATTAGCAAACAGGGACACCTTTACCGCAGGCCACCCAGCACAGGGAGCCACGGGGAATATGACGGCTGGTGCTGTGTGCCGTGCTCAGTCAAGGGCTTCCCTGGAGACCGCTGAGCCAGTGTGCCACGCACATGCTGAGCTTAGCACCCTCGGCAGCCCTGGGCACGCTGGGAGTCCCCCGTGGGGGTAGGGCCTTGAGCAGGGCCTGGGGTGCTCTTGGTCCAGGCCGGGTCAGACACGGGGTCACAGGTGGACCTAGAGGGGTGACCTGGCCTGCTCGGGGCACCAGCTCCATGCTCCACGTGCCTTTCGCTGTAGCCTCAGGGCTGGCCAGCTGACCTCCGAGGCTGCTCTGAGGTTCTAGAATCCCCAGCGGCTTGATCGGCTGCAGCCAGGGCTTCCTGTCTCCTGTCTGCGTGGCTCCACACTCAGAGGCTTCGCTCTGCCCTGGGGTGTACTGGGAATGCCAGGCTCCCACGGGTCACGGTCACTTGTGGAGGGAACATGCAGTACACTGTCCCCGGGAAAGGTGTACTGGTGTCTGGGTCTGCTGTGGAGGCTGGAGGGGGAGCCACGTCCCAGGTCCCTGCTGTGGAGGGCTGTCCCGTGCCCTCTGTCCTGCTGTGGAGGCGTGTCCGTGTCCTGTGTCCCCTGTCCTGTGCAGGGGGTGTCCTGTGTCCTGCTGTGGAGGGGTGTCTGTGTCTGTGTCCATGTCCCGTGTCCTGTGTCCTGCTGTGGAGGGGTGTCTGTCTGTGTCCATGTCCCGTGTCCTGTGTCCTGCTGTGGAGGGGTGTCTGTGTCTGTGTCCATGTCCCGTGTCCCGTGTCCTGCTGTGGAGCGGTGTCTGTGTCCATGTCCCGTGTCCTGTGTCCTGCTGTGGAGGGGTGTCTGTGTCTGTGTCCATGTCCCGTGTCCTGCTGTGGAGGGGTGTCTGTCTGTGTCCATGTCCCGTGTCCTGTGTCCTGCTGTGGAGGGGTGTCTGTGTCTGTGTCCATGTCCCGTGTCCTGCTGTGGAGGGGTGTCTGTCCGTGTCCCATGTCCTCTGCCCTGAGCATGGGTTCAGTGGCCGCTGCCCTGCCTGGGCACGGCATTCCTGGCCTAGAGGCCCGCCTCACTGTCCATGTTTTATGAGGAGGAGCGGAAAGGTGTGGAGTTGAGCTCCGTGCCCGGGGCACAGACTGGTGCCAGCCGTCCTGTGGGCTGTGTCCCCTGGGGGAGGGCTGTGTCCTGCCCCTGCTGATGCCCTGTCCCGCCATGGTTTTGGTCGTCTCTTGCCTCTGCAGGATGTGCAGAGCCAGCTCAGGGGGTCCGCCCAGTGCCTCGGAGACGAGTTCCTGAGCTGCGAGCTGGCTGCCAGGGCCAAGGTACAGTGTGACAGCGATGCTGACCTCGCCTCCTCACTGGGCCGCCACACCGCATGTTTGTGTCACCTTGTGGTGTGCCTCGGGCTGTGCCCTGCTTTACGCTTCGTAAACGTGCATTCCAGAGAGGGGCTCGAGGCCGCTGCCTGCACCTGCACGCACACACACACGGAGAGGGAAACACACACACTCACCCACACGGAGAGGGAGACACTCACCCCCCTCCACACACACAGCATGGGAAGGACAGGCGGTCGGATCTCCTCTCTGCCCGTCGGGTTGGTTGCAGCTGAGGCCCCACGCAGGAGGTGCAGGACGCCGGGAGCCGGGCCGACACCTGCTGCCTCCGGGCTGTGGCAGGGAGCTGCACTGGGCCTGCCCAGGAGCAGGGTGGAAACAGTGTGGGCGTCCCCGCTGTGGGTGCTGGCCCCAGGGGAGGGGGCCCACAGGCTAACGTGCCTTGGGGTGTGGCTGGTGGTTGGCCGTGGCGCCAGGCCCTTCCGGTGTCGCGGTGACACGTCTCCCTTCCCCTCCAGGACTTCCTCCCGGCCGATATCCACGCGCAGTTCGCCATCAGCAGGGAGCTGATCCGTAACATCTACAACAGCTTCCACAAGCTCCGTGACCGAGCCGAGCGGATGGCGGCCAGGGCCGTGGACAACGCTGCGGACCTGCTCATCTTCGGGAAGGAGTTGAGGCAGGTGGCCCTGTGGGTGCAAAGCGGGCACCTCGGCGGGGGCGGGCTCGGGCACAAGGTGACTGTCTCCCGTGTGTTTTGCATCCTGCAGTGCTCTAGGGTCTGACACCACCCCGCTGCCCTCCTGGGCCTCCCTGCACAGCAGCACCTGGGGCTCCCTGAAGCAGGCCTTGAAGGGGCTGTCTGTGGAGTTCGCGCTGCTTGCCGACAAGGCTGCCCGACAGGTGATGTACTGGCTGGCTGTGGGCACCTATGCAGACAATGTTCTAGATTGCATGGGGCGCTGCCCCCTCAGAGAGACTCCGGGCTCCCAGCCCAGAGCGGGTGATTGGCTTTGCCCCGGGCGGGAAGCGTCCTTCCCAGGCTGTCCTGGTGGCCGCCCAGCAGCCAGCATCCCGAGCCAGCTGGGCTCTGAGTTGTCCAGGGCTGGCTGTGCTGAAGTCGGAAGGCAGACCGGCTGTTGGCTGTGGGCTCCCTGTCACCTGGCAGCTGGCCCGGCAGCACAGCACTTCCAGTGTCCCTCCCTGTGCCTGTGGCGGGAGCTGTGGACACGGCAGTCATACGGGGCCGATCTGCACACACCCGTGGAGCCTGGCCTGAAGGCTGGCCCGAGAGCCAGAACGTTTTACAACTGTTCTTCACGTGAGGGATGCGTGCTTCCACTGTCCGTGGCCTGCTGCTGCGGAAGCGGACCCAGCGCTGCCTGGCCGGGGCTGCTGCCTGGGGCTGCTGCCTGGGGCTGCCTGGGCCTTTCCCTGGCGGAGGTTGGTCCGCTGCCTGTGAGGGGATTGCACACTGGAAAGTCCTTGGTTTTTAATTCTGTGCTCAGCTCCTGGAGCCCACATGTTCCCTTTAGAAACCGAGGCCACGGCAGGTGTGGCGTCCTTGGCCAAGTCCAGGGGCGGGAAAACCCAGATCTGCAGGGACAGGGGCAAGAGGTGGGTGGCCTGCTGGGACTGCTGTGCTGTGTGGACTTGAATTCAGCACAGGGAGTTAGATTTAATCCCTGCAAGGTCAGTGGCTTACCTCCTGAGCTGTTCCTCCTCGTCTAGGGTAGCCGCTGGCCACAGGCTGCAGGCCCTGGCCACGTGGGGTGGCGTCACGCGTTCTGCAGGTGTGGGAGAGTGCTGGGCACGGACTCCGGGCTGTTCCCAAGTGCAGGTCGGCTGCTGTGTCCGTACTGCACGGTGGGGAGGTCGCGCTGTGTGGGGCAGTGCAGTCTGGTTGGAGGCCTGTGTGCTCGGTGGCTTTTGTGCTTGGAGATCGTGTACCTGGGGAAGAGCCATTCACTGGAAATCCTTGGACATGCCTTGCTGGGCTCTCCTGCCAGCCCACTGAGGCCGAGCCGTCCCACGAGTACAGTGAACACCTGGTACCCCGTGGTCTGGTGCCCTGTGCCTTGGTGCCCTGGTGCCCTGGTGTCCTGTGCCCTGATGCTCTGTGCCCCGAGGTCCTGGTGCCCATGCCCTGGTACCTTGGTGCCCTGGTACCCTGGTGTCCTATGCCCAGGTGCCCTGGTGCCTGCCTGCTTTCCCTCACACTGCTAGGAGCTGCAGGGGAGGGGCCGTGGTGCAGCCTCCATGGGAAGGGTGTGCTCCGAAGGTCTAGGGGCTTGTATGCCACCTGTGGAAGGTGATGTGAGCAGTCAGGGAGGCCCCTGTGCTGCCAGGAGGGAGCCCGACCCAAACGGGTGGGAACCGGGGACACCTGCTGACTGCTAGAAGCTTCACTGGCAAGTCCTGGCTGGCACTGCATGGGTTCTGTGCAGTGAGAGCTGCCAGAGGAGCCCGGCATCCCGGGGTGCTGCTGGGAGACCGAGGGGCTCCCACTAGCCGGAGCCACAGCCCACGTCCAGGGCCGGTCACAGCGGTTGTGTGTGACAGAACCAAGGCTGCTGCCTGTGGCCCTGAGCTGGTCACGGGGAGCAGGCTGAGAAGCGGAGCAGCTGGGACTTGAAGTGCTGCTGGGATGGGGAGCTGCCTCGGGCCTCCTGAGCTGTGGGTTCCAAACACTTCTCTGGGTGGCATGGGTGGGCTGGCGTTGTGCTCAGGGACTCCCACGGCACTGCGAGCGGCTTGGGGACGGAGCCCGGCGTTCGCAGTCGGCTCACTCGCCTTTGCTCTGTAGGGCAAACAGGAAGAGAACGACGTGGTGGAAAAGCTGAACCTCTTCCTGGACCTGCTGCAGTCGTACAGAGTGAGTCAGCCAGGACCGAGGGCAGGGCTCAGGAGAGGGGCCAGGAGTGAGGGCAGGGCTCAGGAGAGGGGCCAGGAGTGAGGGGAGGGCTCAGGAGAGGGGCCAGGAGTGAGGGCAGGGCTCAGGAGAGGGGCCAGGAGCGAGGGGAGGGCTCAGGAGAGGGGCTGGAGGGGAGGGCAGGGCTCAGGAACAGCCAGTGCACCTTCCGTGGGCCCATGACAGCAGCACCCATCCCCTCAGCTGAGACCAGACTCGCTGCCTGTGCAGGAGAAACCTTGAGGTGTGGTGTGCGTGTGGGTGTGCACGTTAGCATGGGCCTGCACGTCTGTGAGTGTGCACGTGAGTGTAAGCTGTGTGTTCATATGTGTGTGAACATGCACGTGTGTAAGCATAGGTGGGTGTGTATGTGGGAGTAAGCTGTGTGTTCATGTGTGTGAACAGCTGTGAGCAGGCACACCCGTGTGTAAGCATAGGTGAGTATGCATGTAAGGTGAGGATTAACCCTCGGTGTCTGAAGCCTGGCCCGAGGATGGAGGCTGACGGGTCCCAGCTCAGAGCAGGGGATGCCTTCCCACTGCTGCTCTGGCCCCAAGGAGTCGCTGTCTTTGGAAGGCAGAGAAGTCTCTCCAGCTGGGGAGTCCCAGGAGAGCCGGCCCAGTGTCAGTGCGGAAGGTTCTGGAAGGCGTGCTCCAGGCACTGCAGTGATGCTGTGGCTGGCGTTCTCCTGGGTCTCCTGCCCCACAGTCCTGCCGCTCGCCTTCTTGGGGCAGTGGGCAGAGTTGGGGCGCACCTGTCGCCCTTGTTCCCAGGGTGTCGCCCCAGGCTAGGGAAGGGTTGGATGAGCACGCCAGGTGGCACCAGGGCCCTTGTTCTGCGCTCAGCTGGGAGGACTCTGCCCCCGTGCTGCCAGGACCGCCTGCAGCCAGCAGCTCCCTCCTGGCATGGCTGGGCTCGGGCTGCAGGTGAGGTGCTGAGGCGAGCGTGCCCACAGGACCTGTGTGAGCGACATGAGAAGGGTGTGCTGCACAAGCAGCAGCGGGCCTTGCACAAGTACAGCCTGATGAAGCGGCAGGTGAGCGCTGCGGCACAGAGCCGCGAGCCCGAGGCCGTGGAGCAGCTGGAGTCGCGCATCGTGGAGGTAGGCAGGGCAGCGTGTGCCCCTCCCACTGCAAGTGCATGCCGGGGCTTGGGGTCCTGGTGGGTGCCAGGGTGGCCTGCTGGGCCAGGCACCGAGGGAGGCTCCTCTCCTTGCAGCAGGAGAGTGCGATCCAGACCATGGAGCTGCGGAACTACTTCTCACTGTACTGCCTGCACCAGGAGACGCAGCTGGTCCACGTCTACCTGCCCCTCACCTCCCACATCCTCGGAGCCTTCGTCAACTCCCAGATCCAGGGCCACAAGGAGGTGAGCTGCTGGCCTGGAGGAATGATGGGGCTGCTGCCACTGTGGTATGCACAGCCCTGGTAGGCAGAGAGAGGGTGGGCAGGGGGCACCTGCATGGGGAATCCTGAGCCCCAAGGCTGGGGAACAACGCATGGCTCCTTCAGGCCCGAGGTGCCAGGCTGTGGTGGCACCACACGGCTGCATGCCCAGCCCATACTCAGCCCTGGACACCGAGTCCTTGGTGCCCAGCCCACGCTCAGCCCTGGACACCGAGTCCTTGGTGCCCAACTTTCTCCTTGGTCCCTTGGCTTCCACGTGCCCCACAAGTGCCTCCCAGGAGCGGGGTTTCTGCCTGTGTGTCCCTAGCCCCTGGCTCAGGACTTAAACCTGCATAATCTGTTCTCTTGCCAAAACTAGGACCCCAGGCTCAGGGTATTCCCCCCAGCAAGAACGGTGCTGTGGAACTCAACCTCCCCACGCTGACATTTGAGCCACATGGGGGGCCTGCCAAGCTGCTAGAGCAATGCCATGTGGCGCTGGGACTGTGTGTGCAGTGGTTATGATGCCCCCTGTGTCCTCAGGTGGGACAGGAGCTGAGCTGGAGCTCCGTGGGCTGTGTGTGCAGTGGGGACAGGAGCTGGTGCTGCGTGGGCTGTGTGTGCAGTGGGGACAGGAGCTGGTGCTGCGTGGGCTGTGTGTGCAGTGGGGACAGGAGCTGGTGCTGCGTGGGCTGTGTGTGCAGTGGGGACAGGAGCTGGTGCTGCGTGGGCTGTGTGTGCAGGTGCCCCGCCCCTGATCGTGTCTTTTCTTCCTGCAGATGAGCACAGTGTGGAGGGAGCTGGCGCCCAAGCTGAGCTGCCTGTTTGCGGCGCCACACACTGCCACCAGCACTGCCGGGGTCCCCACCGCGCGGCTGTGTCCTCTCTAGTGCCTGAGGCCCCAGCCTTCTCCCGCGGCCTCACGAAAGCTTCTCTCCAGTGTTGTCCCTGGCTCATTCCCTTCGGACTGCCGGCTGTGGTGCTCCTGGGGGCTGAGCCCTCCCGAAGCCGGACATCTGGATATGACAGGACAGCAGGGTCTGGTGCCAGCACGGCCCTCTGGCCACCTGCCCGCCCCGTCCTGGCCTGCTCTCTGGATGAGCTCAGCGGGAGAAACGTGGACCTTGTTTGGACGGCAACGTCGTGGGAGCTGGCAGGGGGTGAGAGGGTCCCGGGCAGGATACTGGGAGTGGGTCGGCGCAGCAGGCTGAGGACGGCTGCAAGGCCACTGCCTGCAGCTGCACACACTGGGCTGTCAGGGTGTGTTGGGATCCAGGCTGCCCACACCTGCACCCACATGGCAAGACGCACATGCTTGCCATGTCACACTCAGGCTGGTGCTGAGGCCACCAGCAGTCAGGGGCTGGCGCCTCCGGCCCGGGTGCTCCTGGTCCCTGGGCACTGGGGCTGGGGCCCATGCCCGGTGGGGCAGCTGGTGGGCAGTGCTGCAAGAATTCGCAAACCACCTGGAATTGTTCTGCTGACTGGAACCTGTCCCTGCCTCCTCGGTGCCAGGAGAGGGTCTACCCAGACCACAGGCTCTCTGATGTCCACCCCAGCACTGAGGACTCACCCGAGTCCGAGGTGAGGCTGCACTTCCCTGCCTGTGTGTCTGCATGCAGCCTGCAGGTGGCCAGCCCCATGAGCAGCCAGCTCTCATTCCCACGAGGGGAGTCGGCCCCTCTGGCATGCCAGGCCCTGTGGGCCCTGTCCAAGTGTGCCTTCCTGTCCTGCTGGCCGGTGGCCGGTCCCTGGCCACCACTGGCATCACGGGACTGTAGTGCCTTGTGCCCACCACCCTGCAGAAGCAGCTGGATAGAAGCCCTGTGCTGTCCCAGCACTGCACGTTGGCCCAGTGTCCCCGAGCTGTGACACGCGGCCTTGTGCGGTGGACAGAGGGGCGGGGTTTCCTACGTGCCCTGCACTGCTGCCCTGGGCTCTGCCCCCTGCCCCGGCAGAGCTGGGGAGGGCATGGAGGCCGAGCCTGCCGGCCAGTGCTCCCCCATCCCCCACACTGCCAAGTGGACTTCTCTGAGAACTTGACTGACAGGCCCCATGCCTGGTCTGAGTTGAGGGGTCTCCCAGGCAGGGTCTGGGGAAGCAGGAGCTTGGCCCCCCTCACGAGGCTGCCGGAGTCGGTTACTGCTACCCTGGAAAACTGCAATTGTTTACAGATGACCCACACCCCGAAGTCTCTGTCTGTACACTTCTGCCAACAGTGATTAAATGACAATGCAAACTGGGCTGTGTGGTCAGCTGCTTGGGGGGAATGCGGCTCCATCTGCAAGGTCAGGTGCGTGGGACTGGGTGCGTGGCCATGCCCCGCTCAGTCACCCCGCTGTCAGGTGACGGGGTGCAGTCTGACCATGGCCCCCAGAGGTGTACTGCCGTGTGAGGGGATGAGCCAGCCTGCGAGGGCAGTGAGGTGTGAACAAGGAAAAGCCTTTATTTCTTTCCGTGGTGTTGCAGCACTCGGGGTCGCCTTGCTTGGGAGTCCTGTGGCCTCGTGGCTGTCCCGGGCAGCTTCCTGTGGGTGGCCCGGCCTGGCCTGCGGGCTAGAGTGTGTCCACCTCATGGAGTGTGTGCTCCACGATGGTGTGCTGGTCCTGGAACTTGAAGTGGCCCTGGAACTTCCTGCCTTGCAGCAGCAGCGGCAGCCAGTACTTGTCATCGGGCCACATGTCTTCAAAGGGGATCTGGTCCTGCTGGAACCACTGCGGCCTCATCTCTGTGTTGGGGGTGAGAAGGGGTGAGAGCTGGAGGTCCCGGCTGCCCGGACGGTGAATCCCCCCGCTGGCTCAGCAGCCCACCTGCGGCCCGCCCCAGCAGCTAGGTCCTGGGGGAGGGGCTTGCTGCTGCACCTTATTGAGGCCGGGCTGTCTGCCATGATGGCGAGCTGTCCCCCGAGACTCACCCTCGGTCTCCACGGGTGTCCCCTGGAAGCTGTCAGTAGAAAAGACGTGTACTTCCATCTGCTCAGGCATAGCCACAAACTCGAAGGTGATGCGGCCCACCCTGTGCAAGCTGTCCACGGTCAGACCACTCTCCTCCTGCAGCTCCCTGGGGACCAGGGGGGGCGAGAACACAAGGGCAGGGTCACAGAAGGCTGGGAGGGCGGAGGCCCTGCAGCTCGGCCTGGCACCAGAGGTGGGGGTTGGTGGCAAGGAAGGAGCTGAGCTGTGACACAGGCTGGCAGCCAGAAGAATGTCACATGGTCAGCTTGACCTTTGGAGCTCCTGAGTGGGGTCAGAGGTTCTGGGCAGAGCATGGGCCTGTCCTTGTCCTCTGCCCGTTGCCACCCAGGCCTGCTAGGCCCACCACTCATCTCCTGTCTCAAGAGGAATGCCCGGACCAGAGTTGAATGTGGAACCTTGGCCCAGTACCGGGCTTGGCTGCCCGGAAGTGTGTGCCCGTCCCATCGTGCACATGACCAGGAACCCAGGGTCACAGCTGGGCGTCTGGTCCCTACTGAGGAAGGGAGCGGCTCTCATCGCAGCTCGGGCTGCTGGTGCAGGACCAGTGGGCTAGACCTCTTCCGGCCTGTTCTCGGGACAGTCTCCTCACTGGCCGACCCTGCAGGGGTATCGATGCCAGCCTGCCCTTTGATGTCGTCCCTGTGTGTCGCATACCTAAGACACTGCACGGGTAGGAGGCGGGCACATGAGCCCCACCTGGGACCCTGGGTGCCAGCTGTGCACCTTGAACTCCCCACTCAGCAGGAGAGCAGCGTGTGCCTCTGTGTGCCATGGCGATTAGGACACGTCAGCCTGGGGCGGGGGCCAGGGTTCAGCCTGCAAGTGCCAGCATCCCACATGGGCGCTGGTTCGTGTCCCAGCTGTTTCCCTTCCCATCCAGCTCCCTGCTAGTGCACCTGGGAAAGCAGTGGAGGATGGCTCAGGTGCTGGGCCTGCACCCGCTTGAGGCCCAGGAGAAGCTCCTGGTCTGGCTGTTGTGGCCGTTTTGGGGCGAAGCAGGGGAGTACAGGGGCAGCAGTCTTACTCTGCCTCTGGCTGTAATCTTTCGCCCTTTGCCCTGTGCACTTGTGCCTACACCGTGCTATCACCTGTGCCCACGGCCTGCCCAGGCTCAGTGCTGGGTCCCCCAGCATCATCTCTGGGTGCTTTCTCACTTCCTCGGCCTCTGTAGAAATGGGCTACTCATTTCTGACCAGTTATGGGTACTTGTTTGGTATGCGTGTGTATTTTTAAATGTTTATTTATTGGAATGGCAGATTCAGGGAGAACAGGGGAGATGAAGATCTCCCACCCACTGGTTTACTCCCCAAGTGGCCACAACTGAGCTGATCTGAAGTCAGGAGCCAGGAGCTTCTTCTGGGTCTCCCACATGGGTCAGGGTCCCAAGGCTTTGGGCCGTCCCTCACTGCTTTCCCAGGCCGCAGTCAGGCAGCTGGATGGGAAGTGGGGCGTTCAGGTTATGACCTGTCCCCACATGGAGCCCTGGTTTGAAGGATTAGCAGGCCGAGCCATTGCGCCATGCCCCAGTTATGGGTACTTGTAACAGCCAGTGTTCAGAGGTTTGCTTGCATGGCATAGATTTACAGAGCGAGCTCCCAGCTGCAGGTTCTCTTCCGTTGCTTACATCAGCAGCACGACCCGGGGCAGAAGGCAGCGAGGGAAGCCATGCCCCCAGCTGCCCCACACCCCTTAGGCTCTGAGGGCCTCACAACTGGTCAGTGCTTCGCCCTGGGTCCTGTGCAGGTGGGACGGGAGACTCCAGCTGCTGCCTCTGCAGGTGCACAGGCCTGCCTGTGGTGTCTACACGCTGAGGCAGTTAAGGAGAACAGGACTTGGCCTGAAAGAGCCATGTGTGGTGAGCCCCCCAATCCCACAGCACAGGGCTGGGTGATGCGCCCTCGTGGCAGCCCGGCGGGTCTCTCTGTGAAGCCTGGGCTGGGGGTTTCTTACTTTGACTAACTGGATCTTCCCACATGCTCAGCGGCATGTGTGCGGTTCGCCATCAAGCTGGAGAAGGAGCCGCAGCAGGGAGAAGCCCACAGATGCAGCCCACGCCACCACGGGGCCCCGCTGCTCAGTTCCTGCCTGGCAGATGGCGTGGGGGCGGAGCTGGGAGGCCGGGCAGTTCTGGGCCTGGGTGGTGATGGGCCCTTCCCATGCTCAACTCAGGGGGTCCCCCCGCCACACTTGGGAACCACCCTTGCTGTCACCTCCAGGTTCTGCCTGCACACAGGAGGCAGAAGATGGCTCCCTTGCCAGGTCACCCAGCAGGCATCTGGACAGCAGCCTTTCCCTGCCCACCTCTCCCTGGGCAGCCAAGGCCTGCGCCGTATGATACTCGGTCTCCAAGGGGCAGGACCGATGGTCAGGGCAGCCCTGGCTTCTGAACTTGGGACTTCACGCCGGGGTGGGTGGGCTTATCCTGCTGCTGGACCCGTGTCTGAAGCAGCTGCCCACGGGGTCCTGAGGCCGGGACACAGGCAGCCTTTGGGGGAACTGCTGCGACCCTGGCCAGGAGGGGTGTGAAGAGGGGCAAGGTGCAGGTACAGCAGGAGGCCAGCTTGGTGCGCAGGTTACAATCTGGGCTGCTTTACATCACATTCAGACTGGGAGAACCCAAAGGGCAAGTGCTTGGGGTGGTGGGCCGAATAGGGGTGCAGAGTCAGATGGGGGACATAAGCTGGGTGGAATTGACTTGGCACTGGAAACTTACGGAGCTGTGGGGGAGGTGGAGAGGGAGAGCAGGACACGCTGCCTGTGGGGAGCCTGCCTGTCCAGGTGAGGGGTGCAGGGCCCCGTGGGGAGGCGGCCTGCCTGTGGAGGGACTAAGGGGTGCAGGGCCCCGTGGGGAGGCGGCCTGCCCATCCAGGTGAGGGGTGCAGGGCCCCGTGGGGAGGTGGCCTGCCTGTGGAGGGACTAAGGGGTGCAGGGCCCGGTAGGTGGGCAGCCTGCCTGTGGAGGGACTAAGGGGTAAAGGGCCCCGTGGGGGAGGAGGTCTGCCTGTGGAGGGACTAAAGGGTGCAGGGCCCCGTTGGGAGGAGGCCTGCCCGTCCAGGTGAGGGGTGCAGGGCCCCTTGGTGGGGGCCGCCTGCCCATCCAGGTGGGGGGTACAGGGCCCCGTGGGGGAGGCGGCCTGCCTGTGGAGGGACTAAGGGGTGCAGGGCCCCGTGGGGAGGCGGCCTGCCCATCCAGGTAAGGGGTACAGGGCCCCGTGGGGGAGGCGGCCTGCCTGTGGAGGGACTAAGGGGTGCAGGGCCTGGTCGGGAGGAGGCCTGCCCGTTCAGGTGAGGGGTAAAGGCCCCGTGGGGAGGCGGCCTGCCTGTGGAGGGACTAAGGGGTGCAGGGCCCCGTGGGGAGGGGGCCTGCCTACGAGGGACAGTCCAACCAGTCAGGCGCTGCCTGTGCCAGGACTTGCTTGCCCATCTTAACATCCTGCTCTCCGGGAGAAGCAGTTTCACGTGGCACTGTGGCTGGTTTCCTAGGGTCCCATCTCCTTCAAGGCCCAAGTCGGAGCGGGCATGACAGGGCACTGGCCTCGGCCGCTCTGGGACTGCTCAGCCATGTGCTCACCGCCCCCTTCCTTCCCACTGCCCAGCCCTGGAGGCTTCAGCGAGTGCCATGTGCCTCCGGCCTCAGTTGGCCAGCCTCGCTTTGTCCTGGCCCCAGACTGCTAGGTAGGGACCAGGCCTCCTTCCCAGGTACCTGTCCTGAGCCTGTAGCACAGATGTGGGAGCCCTGTGAGGGCAGGGGCTGTGGCCAGGACCCTCTGTGCTCCGAGCCCACCACAGAGCAGCGCTGAGGTACCCTGTGGTCTGGTGCCCCATCGCAGCTGAATGGAACAGTGAGATGGCGTGGCTGCCATGCCTGCTTCCCACGCCTTGGCCCCAGGCTGCTGCCTCTCTGGGTGGACGGGCCCTTCTCTGCGGTGTCCTCCCGGTGCAGGGCCGGGTGCAAGGTCCAGCGGTGCTCTCCACCTGGTCTGTGTGTGTGTCCCCGAGGGACAGCCTGGTCATGGAGCCCAGGGTGGGCTGCTGCTAGAAACCCTGGGACGAGCTGTGCAAGTCGGGAGTCTGGGTCACATATGTGCGGGATCCTGGCATCTCCAGTCACAGAACAGAACCGTGGTAGGGGCTGGCTCCGCGCCACAGACCGGTGAGGGGCACAGTACCCCGTGGCCCAGTGAGGGGCACAGGCAGCAGAACTGAGAGCCAGGGAAAGCCTGCTCGGGGCTCTGGTCCCTGTGTGCATAGAGAGGGCGCACTGAGGAGCAGCGAGGCCCAGCTAGAGACGCCCAGCCAGTGAAGACAGGCAGTGGCCCTGCAGCTGAATACCCATGCCTCCGGACAAGCAGCTCTCCGGGCAACCTGCACCCCCTTGCCCACCCCCGGACAAGCAGCTCTCCGGGCAGCCCTCACTCCCTGCCCACCCCGGACAAGCAGCTCTCCGGGCAGCCTGCCCACCTCTCACCTTCTGGCCCCTGCCTCGATGGTCTCGCCTTCCTGGACCTTGCCCCCGAAGCCGTTCCAGCGGCCAGCTCCAAAGCCACGTTTCTTCATGCCGAGCAGGATGCGAGGGGGCTGCAGGACCATTACCAAGGTGTAAAGGCTGGAGGTGCCCATGGTCCCCTAAAGCTCTGAGGACAGGGAGAGGCACGGTTAGCACATGGCACGGGATGGTGCGGGAGACACAGGTCCGTCTGGGTGTCCCAGGGTCCTGGTTTCCTCCTCTCTTCAGTACTATTGGCTGCCAAGCAGGACAGGGCCTCTCCAGTGAGGGCCTTCCTGCCCAGGGTGCCACCCCTGGGAACCCTGGACCAAGGGATCAAGGTCCAGCGGTGCTCTCCACCTGGGCTCTGTGTGTGTCCCCGAGGGACAGCCTGGTCAGGGAGCCCAGGGTGGGCTGCTGCTAGAAACCCTGGGACGAGCTGTGCAAGTCGGGAGTCTGAGGACAGCCCAGCAGTGTATCCAGCAGCTGTGATGTCAGGGCCTGTGTGCAGGAGGGCCGGGGCCACAGGGGGCCCGTGGGAAGGGGACCTCGTGGTGCCAAGGTGCCCGGGGGCTGGTGCTCCTCCCTGTGCCGGGATGAGGAGCAGGGCGGCTGTGAAGTCACAACTGGGACTGGACCCTGCCACCCTCCCCTCACCCACCCTTCTGTTCTGTTTTTAAAGAGATTTATCTAGTGGAAAGGCAGGGTTATGGGGGCAGGGAGAGGGATTAATCAATGGATCTTTGATCTGCTGAATCACCGTGGCCACACCTTCATGTGGGTCTCCTAAACTGGTGGCAGGTGCCCAGGCAATTGGGCCGCCTCCTGCTGCCTGTGCTCCCAGTTGCATGGGATGTGAGCACCGGCTGTGCCACGAGGTTCCACCAAGTCTGTGGGGTCCCACCCAACTACTGGCTGTCCGCACCGGGACAGGCTCCGTTTGTTGGCTGTCTGGCAGAGATGGCGGTCGGCCGACATGGCACCACGGGCCCCTCGTGGAGTCCCAGGGGCTGCCCACGTGCAGCGGGGGCCTGCTCCCGCACCCTGGGCGCTCGGCCGCCTCCGTGCAGGGCCCGTGCCATGTGCCGGTCCCGGGGCCCTTGAAGCCGCCCCCCTACTCCTCGGGTGGCCCGGCTCCCCAAAACCCGCGCCGTCCCGCGCTCCCCACCTTGCGCGGCCGCTTCCGGGGGCGCGGTCTCGGGCGGAAGCGCGCGGGCGCTGGGGCGGCGCGGAACCGGGCGCCGATGGAGGGGTGAGCAGCCGCCGCGCGGAGCAGGGGCTGGGGATTCCGGCCCCAGGAAGGGCCGGCTGCGAGGCGGACTCGGGCCGGCAGCCGGTGGGGAGCCGGCCGGGGCGGGCGCGATGGCGCCCGGGTCTGGGGCGCGCCTTGGCGGCCCTGCCCACCTCTCGCGCCTGGGCTCCGGTGTCCGTCCCAGGCCCTTGCCAGCCGCCGGGAGCCCTGGGGAAGAGCCGTGTGTTCCATGGAGGTTGCCTCCATGGGCGAGCGCTGGGTGCTGCAACTTCTTCTCAGGGGACTCAGCTGTGAGGAGCAGGCTGCAGGCAGCGCAGCTCTAGGCTCGGTGAGAGCAGCAGGAGTCCCTGCGGCCTCTGCCTTCTACCCTGTGTCCTCACTCGTCTTCCTTCAGACACACTAACGCTCCCCTGTTACCCTCATGGTGTCCCCAAAGGCTTAGAAGGGCAGCTGCAGTGGTCCCCAGAGGGCTGTAGGAATGTGAATTTGGGGGGACACCATTTTCCCGTGATACCCCTCTATGGCTCGGGAGCCTGGGTGTGTCAAGGGGGTGCAGCCCGGGCCCCTCTGACCGTGGACTCGCAATGCCCCCTTTTTTCTGTCTGCAGGTCCTGGACACTGCTGCGGGCTGCCCTGCTGCGTCGGGGGTCCCAGGGTGCAGGGCGGCGCTCCAAGGGCCGCTCGGGGACAGAGCAGCGCTGGCTGCAGCGGCAGCTGACCGACCCCTTCGTGAAGGCGGCGCGCGCCCAGAGCTACCGATGCCGAAGCGCCTTCAAGCTGCTGGAGATGGACGCCAGGCACCGGCTGCTGCGGCCTGGCCTCCGTGTGCTGGACTGTGGCGCCGCGCCAGGCTCCTGGAGTCAGGTGGCCGTGCCCAGAGTCAACGCTGCCGGCACAGGTGTGGCCACTCCCCCCAACACCTTCCTGATGGCACTTTTAAAAGATCTAGTTATTAATTGGAAAATCAGTGACAAAGAGAGAGAAATCTTTTATGTACTGGTTGGTTCATGTCCCAAGTGACTGCAGTGGCTGGACCTGGACCTGTCTGAACCCAGGATTTTCTGGGTCTCCGGCATGGGTGCAGGGTCCCAAGGTTTTGGGCTGCTGTCCACTGCTTTTCCGGGCCACCAGGAGGGAGCTGGAAGGGAAGTGGAGCAGCCAGGATGTGAACCTAAGTCCACATGGGATATTTTTGCCCCAGATGTTTAGCCTGCTAGCCCACAGTGCCAACCTCTAGTTTTGTTTTTTTTGAAAGACTCATGTATTTGGTTGAAAATCAGAGTTAGGAGGAGACGTTTTCTGCTTACACGCCAGCTGATCACAGCAGCCAGGGCTGGCTGAGCTGAAGGCAAGAGCTCCGGCTGGGTCTGCTCGTGGGCAGCAGGGCCTGGGGACTTGGGTCCTCTGCTTTCCCAGGCCATCAGCAGGGATGGATGAGACGTGAGGTGGTGTCCACTTGGGATGCAGGCAGCGACTGACTGCCACAGTGCTGGCTCCAGACTGCTATTGACCTCTGCTCGTCTGCGGGTACGCAGGCAGGGCACAGCGGGCAGGGGGCACAGTGGGCAGGGCACAGTGGGCGGGGCACAGTGGGCAGGGCACAGCAGGCAGGGGCACAATGGGCAGGGCACAGCAGGCAGGAGGCACAGCAGGCAGGGCACAGCAGGCAGGGGGCACAGTGGGCGGGGCACAGTGGGCTGGGGGCACAGTAGGCGGGGTACAGCGGGCAGGGCACAGTGGGCGGGGGCACAGCTGGTGGGGCACAGTGGGCAGGGCACAGCAGGTGGGGCACAGTGGGCAGGGGGCACAGCGGGCAGGGCAAGCAGGCAGGGGGCACAGCGGGTGGGGCACAGTGGGCAGGGCACAGCAGGCGGGCGGCTGTTAGGAGGCAGCAGCAAGGACACTGAGCCTCCCACAGTCAGAGCTGAGGGGTCAAGCCACTGGCCCTGAGCCTGGCGGGAGTTCCTGCTCGGCCCTGCCGATGTGCCCAGGGAGATGGCAGACGGTAGCCCATACCCCCCTGGAAGAGCCAGACGGAGTTCCCGGATTCCGGCTCCGGAAGTATTAGCTAGGTCTAAAACACACATCCCTTTTTACCCAGTAGACTGAAGTCACAGCTCTGGGACTGTACTGATTTTTTTAGAGTTATACTTTTATTTGACAGGTAGAGCTACACAGAGAGAGAAATCTCCCATCCACTGGTTGACTCCCAGAGGGCCAGGATGGACGGCACTGAAGCACTGTGAAGGCAGGAGCCGGAAGTCTCTGAGTCTCCCATGTGGGTGCTCCATGCAGCATGGCTGTCCCCGACACATTAGCAGGGAGCTGGGTGGGAACTGGAGTTGCTGGGACTTGAACCACGCTGTTCTGGAATGCTCCTGGCAGTGGTGCAGTCCTAGCGTGATATAGCACAGCACCAACTCCACTCATTATTATTTTTTTTAAGACTTATGTATTTAGGGCCCAGAGCGGGGGCCTAGTGGCTAAAGTCCACTTGAACAAGCCAGGATCCCATATGGGCACTGGTTCTAATCCCGACAGCCCTACTTCCCACCCAGCTCCCTGCTTATGGCCTGGGAAAGCAGTCAAGGACGGCCCAAAGCCTTGGGAACCTGCACCCACGTGGGAGACCTGGAAGAAGTTCCTGGCTCCTGGCTTCAGATCAGTGCAGCTCCAGCCGTTGCAGTCACTTGGGGAGTGAATCATCGGACGGAAGATCTTCCTCTCTGTCTCTCCTCCTCTCTGTATCTGCCCTTCCAGTACAGATAAATAAATCTGTAAGAAAAAAAAAAAAAAAAGACTTTTGTACCTATTTGAATGGCAGAGCATGGGGACGGATAGATAGAGCTGCTCCAAGTGCTGGGTCTGTCCAGAAATGGCAGTGGTGGCCCAGGCCGAGCCTGGCCGAGCCTGGCCGAGCCTGGCCGAGCCTGGCCGCCCCCTGGCCGCCCCCGGCCGCTGGGACCCGGGCTCTTAGCTTGTCTCCTGGCTCAGAGGTGGAGCAGCTGGGACTTGAACCAGTGCCCAGCGGGGAAGCCAGCCCTGCTGGTGGTGGCTTTCTCCGCCATGCCATCGTGCTGGTCCCTCCTGCTTGATGTGACTGAGAAGACGCAGTGTGAGCCCGGCTGTCAGAGTTGGGGTGCTGGGGGTGCCTCTGGGCCGGTGTTGTCCTGCCAGGGCCCCAGTTCCTCGGCTGCGGGGTGAAGCCGCCGCCCCCGTGGTCTGCAGGATGTAAGGGCGTGCAGGGGCAGCTCTGCCCCGGCCTGTTCTATCATCCTGTTGCTGGTGTCTTCCGGAAGGATGAGAGGCTAAGTGACCTGTTCATTTCCCCCTCAGACCCCGGCTCCCCCGTGGGCTTCGTGCTGGGGGTGGACCTTCTGCACATCCCCCCACTGGAGGGGGCCACCTTCCTGTGTCCAGCTGACGTGACCGACCCTGCTGTGGTGTGCAGGATCCGAGAGCTGCTTCCCGGGGGCACGGCCGACGTGCTGCTGAGCGACATGGCACCCAACGCCACGGGGATCCGGGCCCTGGATCACGACAAGCTCATCGGACTGTGCCTGCACCTCGTGGACCTGGCCACGGACCTCCTGCAGCCGGGGGGCACGCTGCTCTGCAAGACTTGGGCTGGCGGGCAGAGCCAGCGGCTGGAGAAGCGACTGAGAGGGGCCTTCCAGAGCGTGCAGGCCGTCAAGCCAGAGGCCAGCAGGAGCCAGTCGGCAGAGGTGTACCTGCTGGCCACGTGCCACCGTGGTGGGGGGCCTCGGTGAAGGGGCCTCTCCTGGCACTGTGAGCTGGGAGACGAGGCAGGGCAGCCCAAGCCTGTCCCAGGGCCGCAGCCCGGGGCTCCGTGTGAGCTGCAGCCTGAGGCTGAGGCTGCAGTGCCCGGCTGGCGCTCAGGCGGGCCGGACCTCGGCCACGGACACTGCCCGCTGTCCAGTGAGAGCCCTGCCTGAGGCCCAGCCTCCCAGCAGGCCGCGTGGCTTGCGGAGAGCCCAGGTTTCAAACAGCCTGGGCCGGCTCTTGGGTGTACAGTGTGCAAAGGTGTGTGCCGGCACCTGGCCGCCAAGTCCATGTGTCCTCAGCAAGGCAGCTTTCTGCAAGAGCGTGGGTGGCATTGTCGCAGGTGTCCATACTTCTAGAATAAAAGCAAACACGCAAACTGTAAAAGCGCCCGGCGTCTTCCACGCGGCCGATGCGAGGGGCCTGTGCGCTGGCCCTCTGGTCGCCCGCCCGCACTGGGGGTCGCCCAGGCCCCTGGAGGGCGCCTCCCTCCGCCCCGCAGGCCGGCCCGGGCACGGGCGCAGGGCGGGCCCCGCCGGGAGGGCGCCCCGTGCAGCCGGGCTCCCGGGCCGGGCCGGCGTTTAAAGAACGCGCCGAAACTTGCCAAGTTTGTCCGCGGGCGGCCCCCGTCGGGCGCTGTGCCGGGCCGCGGGGGACGCCCGCTCGGCTGCCGCGGGTCGCGCTCCCGGCGCCCGCCCGTCCCGACGCGCCCCCGGCCCTGTTCCCGGGGCTTCCCCGCGCGGAGGGTCCCGGGGCTCCGGCCGCGGCCCCCGAGCCCCCCGAGCCCGCCGGACGCCCCTGCCCGTCCCCCCGGCCCCGCCGCCCAGGTCTCGCGAGAGCTCGGCTGCGCCTGCGCGACCCGGCGGGGCGGAGGGAGATCCGAGCGGCGGGAGCGGCGGACCGGGGTGAGATGAGGGGAGAGGAGGGGAAAAGGGGTGAGGGGAGGTGAGAGGGGAGAGGAGGGGAGAGGGGAGCCGGGGTGAGGGGAGGGGAGGGGAGAGGAGAGAGGAGGGGAGGAGAGGGGAGATGGGGAGAGGAGAGGGGGAAAGGGGAGAGGAGAGAGGAACTGGGATGAGGGGAGGGGAGACGGGGTGAGGTGAGCGGACAGGTGAAGGGAGAGGAAGGGGAGATAGGGTGAGGGGAGGTGAGAGGGGAGGGGAGCCTGGGTGGGGGGAGTAGGGGAGGTGAAGGAAGAAAAGTGAGGAGAGGTGGGGGAGCGGGTGGGGAGGTGGGGGGAGCGGGTGGGAGGTGAGGGGAGGTGAGGGGAGCGGGTGGGAGGTGAGGGAGTGCCCGCAGCCCTGCCTGTGCCCGCAGGTGCCATGGAGGACACGGCTGAGAACACCACGGTGCTGGCCACGCTGCGCTCCCTCAACAGCTTCATCGCGCAGCGCGATGGTCAGCCCGCCGCGCCCGGCTCCCTGCAGGGGCAGTACCAGCAGAGCATGCAGGTGGGCGCCGGCGTGGGCACCGCCGTGCCAGGGCCTCCTGGGGAGGCCACAGCGCCCACGGGGTGGCTGCCATCGATGGGGGTGTGCGTGTGCTGGTGCCCGCCCGCGGGGTGTGCGTGTGCGTGTGCGTGTGCTGGGTGCCCGCCCGCGGGGTGTGCATGAGCTGGGTGCCCCCAGGGGGGTGTGCGTGTGCTGGGTGCCCCCAGATGGGGTGTGCATGTGCTGGGTGCCCGCCCGCGGGGTGTGCGTGTGCTGGGTGCCCGCCCGCGGGGTGTGGGTGTGCGTGTGCTGGGTGCCCGCCCGCGGGGTGTGCGTGTGCTGGGTGCCCTCCCGCGGGGTGTGCATGAGCTTGGTGCCCGCCCGCGGGGTGTGCGTGTGCTGGGTGCCCGCCCGCGGGGTGTGCATGAGCTTGGTGCCCGCCCGCGGGGTGTGCGTGTGCTGGGTGCCCGCCCGCGGGGTGTGCGTGTGCGTGTGCTGGGTGCCCGCCCGCGGGGTGTGCATGAGCTGGGTGCCCCCAGGGGGGTGTGCGTGTGCTGGGTGCCCCCAGATGGGGTGTGCATGTGCTGGGTGCCCGCCCGCGGGGTGTGCGTGTGCTGGGTGCCCGCCCGCGGGGTGTGCATGAGCTTGGTGCCCGCCCGCGGGGTGTGCGTGTGCTGGGTGCCCGCCTGGGGGTGTGCATGAGCTTGGTGCCCGCCCGCGGGGTGTGCGTGTGCTGGGTGCCCGGCCGCGGGGTGTGCATGTGCTGGGTGCCCGCCCGCGGGGTGTGCGTGTGCTGGGTGCCCGCCCGCGGGGTGTGCGTGTGCTGGGTGCCCGGCCGCGGGGTGTGCTTGTGCTGGGTGCCCCCAGGTGGGGTGTGCGTGAGCTGGGTGCCCGCCCGCGGGGTGTGCGTGTGCTGGGTGCCCGCCCATGGGGTATGTATGTGCCGGGTGCCCGCCTGCGGGGTGTGCGTGTGCTGGGTGCCCCCAGGTGGGGTGTGCGTGAGCTGGGTGCCCGCCCGCGGGGTGTGCGTGTGCTGGGTGCCCGGCCGCGGGGTGTGCGTGTGCTGGGTGCCCGGCCGCGGGGTGTGCATGTGCTGGGTGCCCGCCCGCGGGGTGTGCGTGTGCTGGGTGCCCCCAGGTGGGGTGTGCGTGTGCTGGGTGCCCCCAGGTGGGGTGTGCGTGTGCTGGGTGCCCCCAGGTGGGGTGTGCGTGTGCTGGGTGCCCCCAGGTGGGGTGTGCGTGTGCTGGGTGCCCCCAGGTGGGGTGTGCGTGTGCTGGGTGCCCCCAGGTGGGGTGTGCGTGTGCTGGGTGCCCGCCCGCGGGGTGTGCGTGTGCTGGGTGCCCCCAGGCGGGGTGTGCGTGTGCTGGGTGCCTGCCTGTGGGTGTGCGTGAGCTGGGTGCCCGCCCGCGGGGTGTGAGCCTTGCGGGCAGGGTGCCTGATAACCCATGATGCACTCCTTCAGTACCTTCGGTACCAGGATGCCTTTGGGTACTTTTGGTTTTGGTTTTGTGTTTGAAGAACTAATCTGCCTGGGCTGGTCTGAAGCCGGGAGGGTCTCCCAGTGGGCGCAGGGGCCTGAGGACAGGGCCCTTGCTTGCCCAGGCCCTGAGGACGGGGCTGGGTCAGCAGGTTGGCTTGAACTGGCAGGCACGTGGGACGCCAGCGCTGCGGGCGGAGGATTAGCCTCCTGGCCACAACACTGGCCCCACCTCTAGTTGTTGTTTTGCTTTTCTAAAAAAAAAATCTAGAGGCAGATTTTATGTGGAAGGAGGGACAGAGGGAGGTCTCTCCGGGCTGTTAGTTCGTGGCTGCAGGGTCTAGAGCAGAGCTGATCCAAAGCTGGGAGCCGGGGCCTCCCCCGCTCCCCTACGTGGTGCGCGGGGCGCTAGGACTTGGCCCAGCTTCCGGAGTGGGGTGGGAAGTGGGGCAGCCGGGACGCGAACTGGCGCCCCTGGAGGTGGCCGGGCAGCCTGGCTTGCCTCCCTCGCTGGCCGCTGGTGCAGGGATGGTTTCTGTCGTGGAGGTGTGTCAGCATTTCCGTCTGCTGACCGGCTCTGCTGGGCACGGCTCTGCTGGAGCTGTGTGGCCGTGGGAGTGGCGGCCCCGGGCACTGGGCCGTTTCTCCCGCTTTCCCAGGCACGGCAGCAGCTCACCCGCTCACTGCCCTGCACGCCCCCGCAGCGGATCCCCGGGACATTCTGGTCTCCCTGCTGACCGTGTCTGAGCTCCCGCCTCACCAGCCGGCGCGTGCCCTGCTGGGGTCTGCCCTGGACCTCGGGGGTCTCCAGGACTCGCTGTGCGAGGCCTGCTCAGGGCCAGGTGACCGCACGCATGCCTGGGGGTCCTGGGCCTTCCCTCCTGCTGAGTGCCCGGAGCGGCTGGGGCTGCCCCGCCTGCCAGCCACCTGCTGCTGGCATGGGAAGGTGTGCTGACCGGTGGGGGCGCACCCGGTGTGCTGCTTTCCCGCAGCTGACCTTCGCAGTGACACGCGTGCCCTGGAAGTAGGGTGCTGCCCGCTTGTCCTGGGAAGGTGACAGGCGCAGGCCAGGCAGGCTGCTGAGAGGGTGGGCTTAGGGACCCTCGAATGCCAGGGAAGGGAGCTGCAGTGCGGTGACACTGTGGGGAGAAGCCGGTGCCCTCTTGGCCTTGGTGCTGCTGAGGTTGGGCTGGGGGCTGCATTCGGGGGCGTTGGCTGTTTGGCTACTGTCCCCGGGAAGCCAGTGACAGACGTGTGGCATGTCCCCTCGGGAGAAGTGCCGGATGGCCGTGTTGGGAGCCTGCAGCCGGTGCTTCTCACACTTGGACGCGCCCGCGAGTTCCCCGAGGTGTTTCATGAGTGTTGTAATTCAGGAAGTGGGGTGCAGCCCGGGACCCTGCGTTGGTGGGGCGCTTGGGAGGACCCTCAGGACCAGGTTTGTGCCCCTGTGAGGACTCCGTGGCTCTGTGAGCTGTGGCGTGTCTCCTGGAGACCCTGAGAGCAGGCTGACTGCTGGGCTGCCCTGGGGCCCCTTGCCCCGGGTCTGTCTCCTGGCCTGCCGCTGCCCTGGGATTTTACAGGTGGCTCTGAGGTCTTGGCCAGCTGTCAGGGAGGTGGCTGGGTGGGCCTGAGCTAGTCTCCTGAGCCCTTCACAGGGACTGGGTGCCAACAGGAGGCTGCCCGTGGAGTCTCTGCTCCCGACGGAGGCTGGGAGGGGTGCGGGTCTGGCACCACCTGCTGCCCGTCTGGGGAGAGCCCACATCTGGAGGATTTCCTTCCTGCCGCTTGGATTGCTCTGCCTTTCAGGGGGAAAGAGTGCGGGTGCAGGTGTCGAAGACAGAGGCAGACTTGAAGTGGCTGGGGAGATTGAGCCCTGAGGCCTGGGGGGATAGGGGGCCGGGGAGGGCCGCGGGGCGTGGGCACTCGCGTGGCTGACGGCAAGCAGGGAAGCGCTCGGTGCCCCGGCAGTTCCTCACCCTGCTCTTGTGCTTTGCCTGTGCAGTTGGAGGAGAGGGCAGAGCAGATCCGCTCCAAGTCCTACCTCATCCAGGTGGAGCGGGAGAAGATACAGATGGAGCTGAGCCACAAGCGGGCCCGCGTGGAGCTGGAGCGGGCCGCCAGCACCAGCGCGCGCAACTGCGAGGTGGGTCCTCCAGGAGTGCTGTGTCCCCAGGAGGACGTGTCCTGCCTTCCTGTTCCCCTGCAGACTTGGAAGGCAGGTCTGGCAGAAGCGCCGGTGGCCTGGGGGTGGGGGACGGGCTTAGAGCGTCACCAGGTGTGTAAGGGTCTCCCTGGGGTGCTTGGTGGGCCTCAGTGGCCATTCTGCTCCCGGGGTCTGCAGAGCCCGTTGCCCAGTAGGTAGGTCCAGTGTGAGCCCTGCCTCGTGTTCTGTGGCTGATGGCACCTGCCAGCCTTGGCGAGTGCTGACCACCTGTGCAGGCGCTCTCAGCCAGCCCTCTGGTCTCCCTGCCCCATCCCGGCCAGCGTCCGCCCGTCCTCCCGGGCAGTGTCCGCCCGTCTTCCCGGTCAGTGTCCGCCCATCTTTCTGCCCCGTCCTCCTGGCCAGCGTCCGCCCGTCCTCCCGGCCCCGTCCCGGCCAGCGTCCGCCTGTCCTCCCTGCCCCGTCCTCCTGGGCAGTGCCCGCCTGTCTTCCCGGCCAGCGTCCACCCCATCCTCCCTGCCCCGTCCCGGCCAGCGTCCGCCCGTCCTCCCTGCCCCATCCTCCCGGGCAGTGTCCGCCCATGCTCCCTACCCCTTCCTGGCCAGCGTCCGCCCATCCTCCCTACCCCTTCCTAGCCAGCGTCCGCCCGTCCTCCCTGCCCCGTCCCCGGCCAGCGTCTGCCCATCTTTGCCATGTTTGAGTATTTGTGTGCTCCTAGATTCCTGGCAGAACTGTGGGCACCTGGTAGTGCCATGCTAACTGGATTATCCACGCGTGGCATTCAGGCCCTGGCTGAGGCAGACATGTGGACTCAGGGCAGCCTCGTGTCTGGCAATGGGATGGGCACGGCCCGGCCCTGGATCAGGCGTTAGGAAGGGCTGTCTGTTGATGTGTTTCTTGGTGGCATCCCCCCCCTCTGCTGTCGCCAGTGCCCAGCGGGTGGTGGGACGTCTTGCAGATGTTCTCGGGGGGCTTGGATGACGGAGGAGTTGCTCCGGGGTCCCCGAAGCCCCTGCACAGGGAACGTGGCTGCCGGAGCGTCCCTTGAGCACGGCCGCCTTCCCACGGGCTGGTGCTCGCCACGCACAGATGCTTCAGGCCCCGTGGTCACTGGGCAGCGGACTACCGAGGGACATAGCCTGAGGAACTGCCGGCCTGCCTGGCTGGTGGCCAGGCCTCTGCTGTCGTAGGTGCCGCTCTGGCCGTGACAGCACTGACCCCTGGCCTTGGTGAGGCCCTGCCGGCAGCCCCTCAGGTCCCTTGGAGCCCCTTCAGGGTGTGTGCTGTGTGGGATGGGGGCTTGGAGCAGCAGGGAGGGCGGAGGGAGCAGTCCCCGTGCCCGCCTCCTGCCGGGCAGCTCCTTGGCCCACGTCCCCGAGTCACCCGGTGGGCAGGAGTCTGGGCCGAGTCTCGCGGCCTCTCCCCTGCACCATCTGTGCTCCTGGGAGGCCATGTCCCTGCCCACCTTTACCCTCCGTCCACCCCGTCATGCTGGCCGAGCGCACGTCACACTTGCTGGGCCGCAGCAGCTCCACTACTCTGCAGGGCCGATTCGGGATCCCGTGTTTCCCTGGCTCCTCCCTGGAGAGAGGACCTTGTGGGTGGGCCCTGTGCCTGGTGGGCCCTGTGCCAGGTGGGCCCTGTGCTAGGTGGGCCCTTCGCCGGGTGGGCCCTGTGCCGGGTGGGCCCTGTGTCAGGTGGGCCCTGTGCAAGGTGGGCCCTGTGCTGGGTGGGCCCTGTGCTGGGTGGGCCCTGCGCCTGGTGGGCCCTGCGCCGGGTGGGCCCTGTGCTGGGTGGGCCCTGTGCCGGTTGGGCCCTGTGCCTGGTGGGCCCTGCGCTGGGTGGGCCCTGTGCCGGGTGGGCCCTGCGCTGGGTGGGCCCTGTGCTAGGTGGGCCCTGCGCGGGGTGGGCCCTGTGCCGGGTGGGCCCTGCGCTGGGTGGGCCCTGTGCTGGGTGGGCCCTGTGCTGGGTGGGCCCTGCGCGGGGTGGGCCCAGTGTCCTGCTGGCTGTGGCTCACATGTCAGAGCCGCACTGGCCGTCCTGGTCTCTCCTCTGTGGGTCTGGGTGGTGTGTCCTGGAAGGGCCGGTGCAGGGGTGTGATGCGGCACCCACTGGGGCGCTGCCTGAGCCGGCCTCTGCTCCTTCCGCAGCGGGAGGTTGACCGCAATCAGGAGCTGCTGGCGCGCATCCGGCAGCTGCAGGAGCGCGAGGCCGAGGCCGAGGAGAAGGTGAAGGAGCAGCGCGAGCGCCACCGGCTGTGCCAGCAGAGTCTGGAGGCCGCCGGCCAGAAGCTGCGGGAGAAGGAGGACGACCTGGCCGCTGCCAGCGAGGTGAGGCGGCCCTGGGCTGCAGCTGCCTGGCGCTGAGAGGGAGTGCCAGCAGCCCGGGGTGAGCGTGCCCCCGCCCCGCCCGGCGCAGCGCCAGGCGGCTCCCCTTCAGTCACCCGCCTCGCCGCGTGCACCTGCACTTTGCATTTCTGGCTTCCTTGTAATCAGAGTGAAAATACTAATTTTCCATCCTGTGGTTTTCAGTTACTAAGTAGGACACTTTTTAGGATTTCCAATTAAGTACCCGAATGGCTGGCTAATCCATTTTCTGTCATTTCTGGGTGTGTGTCCTTTGCCTGCACCCTGACATCGGCGCAGTGAGAGCCATGGGCTCAGCCTCTGCCCACTGAGCTGTAGGGTTGGACAGCGTGAGGGGAGGGACGCCAGGCCCGGTGAGGGCCGTGCCGAGTGTTCTGGGCATGCTGCAGCCCTGCCCGTTGCGGCGTCTTCTGGAGAAGCTGTGAGTGTGTTCTGGGAGATGCGGGCAGCTGTCTCAGGACTTTGATCGCGTTTACTTGTCATCAAGGCCTTCGAGCCTCTGGAGGCACCTGAGGCTGCCGTCGGAGCTGGGGCCCGGGGAGGGCGCCAGGCAGGAGGGAGGTGCGTACCTGACCTTGGCTGCCCCTGCTCTGTGACGTTCCAGATCACAGGTGCCTGCTGAGCGTGGAGACTGCTGCGGGAGGTGGCATCGTGGGGATTCCGTCCTCACACGTGCCGCCCTGGAATTATTTTTGCCTCAGTGCTGGGAGTGCGTTAAGGCCGTTCCCACGTCTGTCCTGGGAAGGGATGCTGGCAGGACGGGAGGCGTGACCAGTGTCCAGAGCAGCCCGTCCTACCTGTGTGCGTCCTGAGGTCCCGGGGAGGGATGGGAGGTGAGGGCGAGGCCCCGGGCCTGAGCAGGGCCAGTGTGCACGAGGCCCGGACGGAGTCAGCTCCCTGCTAGTCTCCATCGATGACCCTGCCCCTCTGAGGCCCCGTCCACTTGCTGCCTGGCTGCATCCCTTGCCAGGGCAGGCTGCCTGGCGCCTGTGCCTGTGGAGTGCTTGGCAGCCTTTGTGCTCATGGAGGCCTTTTTATTTAAAGGTTTATTTATTTTTATTGTAAAGTTAGATTTATACACAGAGGGAGACACAGAGAGAAAGATCTTCTGTCTGCTGGTTCGCTCCCCAAATGGCTGCAGTGGGCAGAGCTAAGCCGATCTGAAGCCAGGAACCAGAAGCCAGGAGCTTCTTCTGGGTCTCTCACGTGGGTGCAGGGTGCAGCCATTCTTTGCTGCCTTCCCAGGTCATAAGCAGGGAGCTTGGAGGGGAAGTGGGACAGCTGGGACATGAACCAGTGCCTGGATGGGATGGTGGCACTTGCACGGTGTGCCAGGCTCACCAGGCAGTTCCGTCACACAGGCCCAACACTCAGGCCTGTCACACAGGCGTATCACGCAGGCCCATCACACAGGCCCGTCACGCAGGCCCATCACCAGGCCTTCTGAGGGACATAGTTGTTCTGAGTGTTGGCACTTCTGCCTCCCAGATGGGAGCCTGCCTGCAGGATGTGGGGTCAGCACCCCCTGCCCCCAGGCAGGGACAGTGAAAGGTACCCCCTCGCATTTCTGTGGGTGTTCTTAGGGACGGGGTGGTGTGTTGGGGCCTCTGTTTGCAGAGGGAGTCGGCTGCTTGGGGGCTCCCTGGCCTGCACATGCAGCCCCCAGCGCCAGTCACTGTGGCCGGTTTGCTCAGCCCTCTTGCCCTTAGGTATGAGTTCCCTGGTGATACAAGGGGCATTTCTGAGCAAGGAAGCGTCCAGGTTGACTTGACCTAGAGGTGCAGCAGGGTGCGCTGTCAGCAGGTATCCTGGAGAGGAGTGAGCAGGGCAAAGGTAGCTATTCTCTTCCGTGGAGGCCCAGTGAGGCTGGTGGCCTGCTGTCCTGGCAGATACTGGGCACCCCACTGGCTCTGCTCTCCGCTTTCCCAGCCTTGCCATCTGCTCCCCTCCTGTGGGGCTCTGTGGTGTGGGCGTAGTGTGTTTAGCTGATGGGGTGCTTGGGAAGACGTTGGAAGCCAAGAACAGTGATAAGGCAGGGTGTGCTGACGGATGCTTGCTTTGCAGGGCCCTGGACAGCGGCCTGGCTCACACTGGCTGCTGGCAGCCAAGGCCAGAGGCTGCCTGTGACCAGCTTGTGACAGTGTGCGGGAGGCACACTGGACTAGCTTGCGGGGCTGGGGTGGTGCCTGGCGTCCCGCACGTTGGCCAGGCATAGGTCTGGTGAGAAGGTGGCCCTATTCCCGCCCTGCCGTGACACGCACAGCCACCTTCATTCATTCTGGGACCTGCCTCAGCGAGTGGCTGCTGTGTTCCCTGCTGCAGACCATCCATGCGCTGAAGGGGCGGGTCTCGGAGCTGCAGTGGAGCCTGCAGGACCAGGAGATGCAGCTGAAGCGCCTGGAGTCGGAGAAGCAGGAGCTGGCGGAGCAGCTGGAGCTGCGGCACAGGTGAGCTGGACGAGAGAGCCCCCCGGGCTGTCAGCACCAGGACGAGAGAGGCCCCCAGGGTACCATCTGGACCAAACGGCTGTGGCTGCCATCTTGGAAAGGTTGGCTGGTAGGGGGACATGCGGGTGAAGGCTGGCCATGGTGGCCACGCTCCTGCAAGGTGGTCTGTGCCTGCTGCTGCCCCTCGAGCGGCACCTTGGTTGGGGTGAGGAGGTGGTCTGTCCTGGCAAGCTGTGTGCGGGGAAAGGGGCACTGGGAACGTGGCTAGAGAGGCCTTGCAGGGGTGCACTCTTACCACCTGCCCTGTGAGGCGAGGAGCCGGAGCCCTGCTGGAGTGGGGAGTGTGTCGGGGTCAGGCTGTGGGGTCGCTGGCCTCACCGCATGCCTTGCCTTCCTGTGACAGACAGTGGCAGGAAGCGCAGGAGAAGATCCAAGAGCTGCAGGCCAGCCAGGAGGTGAGGGCCGACCACGAGCAGAAAATCAAGGTGAGTCCTGCCTCGCTGCCCGCTGCTTCTCAGGGCCTTTCTCAGGGTGCTGCCAGCTGTGCCAGGTGCCAGCCTTCTGGGAGCAGGTTGGACCTTGTGTGCCAGCACAAGAACCCCGGCTTCCTGTGCCTGCCGCTGAGGGCTGGGAAGTGCCCATCTGAGCTGCTCACAGAGCCGGGCTGCGCCTTGCCGCCTGGCTGGTGCCCGGGCTCCCCTTGGCCCCTGGCCTTGAGAGTGGATGCACGCTGCTTGGCCCTGTGCCCTGGCTCTCGCCTTGTGCCTCTGTCCCCCTGGCCCAGCACTGCCCGGCGCTCTGGCTCTCGCCTCCTGCCTCCGTCCCCCTGGCCCAGCACCTTCCGGCACCCCAGTGGTGGCCACCTCTTGGCCTTCCTCCCTGTGCAGCGTTGCTGCATCTGGCCTGGTGTCTGTTGTGTCGCTCTGTCCCCCTCTCTGACCCGAGTGCCTGGGCTCGGTTAGTGTTTGTTGATTGACTGCAGGAAGCCCAGATGCACCTTAGTTGTCCCGAGTCCGAGCTAGGTTGAGATACACTGGGAGCCCAAGGCCTCCCCTGCAGAAGAGACTCCCCCATCACGAGGGTGTCACTGGCCAGCGCTCACATGTTGTAGGGGAGCCGTTGAAGATCTCTGGGGAAGGTGGGGAGCAGGTGTAGCTCCCAGGAGAGTGCTGCCGGCTGGCTTTGCAGGGTGCAGGGAGGGTGGTGGCCCGGGCAGCAGCTCCTCGCATGCAGTGCCTGAGAATGCCGTCAGGGAGAGCTGCTCGGAGGAGGGGCACTGTGCCTGTCCCGGGAGCTGGCTGGGGTGAGCAGGGTGCAGCCTCCCGCACTGCCACTGGGGACCCTGCACCTGTGTGTTGTGACCACGTGGTGGCCCAGCCGTGTGTCCGCTCTCAGCAGAGTGCTCCCTGCCCAGCGCCCAGCTGCTCACCTGCTCAGACCCCCTCCTCCAGCAGTTGTGGGTGACTGTCCCCTCTTCATGGGGTGGCATTTCCTGGAATGTTGTGTGCAAAGGATCCTGCTGCACTCATGGGGTTCTGAGGCACATAGGGTTCTCTGCACTCAGCCTCCTCTGCGCACAGCCTGCCCCGCACACAGCCCCGCACACAGCCCGCCCCGCACACAGCCCCACACACAGCCCCGCTCCGCACACAGCCCCGCTCTGCACACAGCCCGCGCCACACACAGCCCCGCACACAGCTCCGCTCCGCACACAGCCCCGCACACAGCCCGCTCCACACACAGTCCCGCACACAGCCCCGCACACAGCCCGCTCCACACACAGTCCCGCACACAGCCCCGCACACAGCCCGCTCCACACACAGTCCCGCACACAGCCCCGCACACAGCCGGCTCCACACACAGCCCCGCACACAGCCCGCTCCACACACAGCCTGCTCCACACACAGCCCCGCACACAGCCCGCTCCACACACAGCCCCGCACACAGCCCGCTCCACACACAGCCCCGCACACAGTCCGCTCTGCACACACTCCCGCACACAGTCCTGCTCCGCACACAGCCCCGCTCTGCACACAGCCCGCTCCACACACAGCCCCGCACACAGCTCCGCTCCGCACACAGCCCCGCACACAGCCCGCTCCACACACAGTCCCGCACACAGCCCCGCACACAGCCCGCTCCACACACAATCCCACACACAGCCCCGCACACAGCCCGCTCCACACACAGCCCGCTCCACACACAGCCCCGCACACAGTCCCGCTCTGCAAACACTCCCGCACACAGTCCCGCTCCGCACACAACCCCGCACACAGTCCCGCTCTGCACACAGTCCCGCACACAGCCCGCCCCGCACACAGCCCCACACACAGCCTGCTCCACACACAGTCCCACTCCGCACACAGTCCCACCCCGCACACAGCCCCACACACAGTCCCGCACACAGCCCGCCCCGCACACAGTCCCGCCCCGCACACAGCCCCACACACAGTCCCGCACACAGCCCGCTCTGCACACAGCCGGCTCCACACACAGTCCCGCACACAGCCCGCTCCGCACACAGCCCGCTCCACACACAGCCCCGCACACAGCCCGCTCCGCACACAGCCCGCTCCGCACACAGCCGGCTCCACACACAGTCCCGCACACAGCCCGCTCCGCACACAGCCCGCTCCACACACAGCCGGCTCCACACACAGCCCCGCACACAGCCCGCTCCACACACAGCCTGCTCCACACACAGCCCCGCACACAGCCTGCTCCGCACACAGCCCCGCACACAGCCTGCCCCGCACACAGCCCCGCACACAGCCCCGCACAGAGCCTGCTCCGCACACAGTCCCGCTCCGCACACAGTCCCGCACACAGTCCCGCACACAGCCTGCTCCGCACACAGTCCCGCACACAGCCCGCTCCGCACACAGCCCCGCACACAGTCCCGCACACAGCCCCGCACACAGCCTGCTCCGCACACAGCCTGCTCCGCACACAGTCCCGCTCCGCACACAGCCCGCTCCACACACAGTCCCACACACAGCCCCGCACACAGCCTGCTCCACACACAGCCCCGCACACAGCCCGCTCCACACACAGCCTGCTCCGCACACAGCCTGCTCCGCACACAGCCCGCCCCGCACACAGTCCCGCACACAGCCTGCTCCGCACACAGTCCCGCACACAGCCGGCTCCACACACAGTCCCGCACACAGCCCGCTCCGCACACAGCCCCGCACACAGCCCCGCACACAGCCTGCCCCGCACACAGCCCCGCACACAGCCCCGCACAGAGCCTGCTCCGCACACAGTCCCGCTCCGCACACAGTTCCGCACACAGTCCCGCTCCGCACACAGTTCCGCACACAGTCCCGCACACAGCCTGCTCCGCACACAGTCCCGCACACAGCCCGCTCCGCACACAGCCCGCCCCGCACACAGTCCCGCACACAGCCCGCTCCGCACACAGTCCCGCACACAGCCCGCTCCACACACAGTCCCGCACACAGCCTGCTCCGCACACAGCCCCGCACACAGTCCCGCACACAGCCCCGCACACAGTCCCGCACACAGCCCGCTCCGCGCATGGCCGACTGTGCCACCTTCTTTCTTCCTAGCAGGCAGCCATTCTCCCTGGCTTCTTTCTCCTTTTTAAAAATATTTATTTGATTTTTATTAGAAAAGCAGATATACAGAGGGAAGGAGAGACAGAAATATCTTTCATCCACTGGTTCACTCCTGAAATGGCTGCAACGGCTGGAGCTGAGCTGATCCGAAGCCAGGAGCCAGGAGCTTTCGGGTCTCCCACATGGTGCAGGGTCCCAAGGCTTTGGGCCGTCCTCCACTGCTTTCCCAGGCCACAGGCAGGGAGCTGGATGGGAAGCAGAGCAGCTAGGACGTGAACTGGCACCCATGTGGAATCCTGGCATGTGCAAGGAGAGGATTTTTAAAGATTTATCTATTGGCCCGGTACGGTAGCCTAGTAGAATTGACGCCCATATGGGATCCTGGCATGTGCAAGGAAGGCTTCAGCCACTAGGCTACCGTGCTGCGGCTTCCCTTTCTACTCCCCCCCCCCTTTTTTTTTTAAAGATTTATTTGTTTGAAAGAGGGGGGAGTGCTGGTTTACTCCCTGAGGGCCACAGTGCCTGACCTGAGCCTGGTCTCCCGCGTGGCTGGCGGGGGCTGTGATGGAGGGTGGGGCGGCGTTGACCCCTGGCACCCTGCCGAGGCCTGGGCGCCGACTCTGCTCCCCCTGCCCTCGCTGCGGCCCCGTCAGGACTTGGAGCAGAAGCTGACCCTGCAGGAGCAGGACGCCGTCCTCGTGAGGACCATGAAGTCCGAGCTGGCACGGCTGCCCAAGGTGGAGCGCGAGCTGAAGCGGCTGCGGGACGAGAACACGCACCTGCGGTGAGGGCGCGGGCTGCTGCGGGGGCCGGGCACCCCCAGTGGACGGCTGTCTGAGAGACTGTGGCCCGCAGGGAGATGAGCGAGAGCAACGGGCTGCTGCGGGAGGAGCTGGAGGGGCTGCAGCGGCGGCTGGCACGCCAGGAGCAGGTGCAACAGGCGCTGGTGGACCTGGAGCTGGAGAAGGAGGTGAGGCTGCGGACGGCGCTGCTCGCCTGCGGGGGAGCAGGGGTGCGGGGAGCCCCGTCACGATGCCGTGAGTGGACTCGGGGCCGCCTGCAGCTCATGGCCCTGCTTGCTGAGAGGCAAGTGGGGTCACTCGTGAGCTGACCACGGCAGGGGGTCGCTGTGGGTTGTCTGGGTGGGCCAGGCCAGCGCAGGGCACCGGGGGTGCGTCTCCCGGCTGTGGCTGATTTGGGGAAGCTGCCACAGCCAAGGAACATGGGTACATGCAGAGGCTGAGGGCAGGAGGCTGGCTTCCCCGAGCCTCGGCTCCAAGCCCTGGTGTGCGTGGCCTTTGGCCACGGAGGCTCCACGCGGGCTTAATGCCGGTGGTGCTCTGAGACCCTCGCTGCTGGGCCCCGGGGGTGCAGTCGTGCTGGTGTCTGGAGAACTTGGGAGGGACCTGACCTGAGCGAGCCCTGCAGGGCGCTGAGTCGGGCTGGCACAGGGCCAAGTGCGTGCGGGGGTCTCTGGTCCCCAGGCTGCCTCAGTTGCCGGAGGGCCGTGAGATCTGGTCCTTGTGGGCTGGGGGGTCGCTGTAGTGCCCCAGGCAGGCTGGTGTTGGCGTGTAGCCACCTGCCCTGTCCCGCCCGGTACAGCTGCCATGGGGAGGGCTGCCATGTGCACCCTGCAACCCTGCACCCCTGGACGGGGCAGAGCCAGGGTCAGTGCCAGGGTGTGCTCCGTGGGGCTCTCTGCTGTCTTCACTCACGGCTCCTGTATTTTAGTGTTTTTTTTGTTTGCTTTTTAAGATTTATTTTAAATTTTTGTTGGGGAAGTCAGATACACAGAGAGGAGGAGAGACAGAGAGGAAGATCTTCCGTCCAATAATTCACTCCCTAAGTGACCACAGTGGCCGGAGCTGAGCTGATCTGAAGCCAGGAGCCAGGAACTTCCTCCCAGGTCTCCCACGCGGGTGCAGGGTCCCAAGGCTTTGGGCCGTCCTCGACTGCTTTCCCAGGCCACAGGCAGGGAGCTGGATGGGAAGCAGGGGTGCTGGGATTAGAACAGACACCCATATGGGATCCTGGCATATGCAAGGCGAGGGCTTTAACAGCTAGGCTACCATGCCAGGCCCAGCTTGTTTTTTTAAGAACAAATTTTGAAAAAGTGACAGAGAAGGAGGGAGGGAGAGAGAATCCTCCATGTGCTGGCTCACTCCCCAGATGGCTACGGGGCTGGTGCTGGGTCAGGCCGGGCCAGGAGCTGGAAACTTCGAGGTCTCCCATATGGGTACGAGGCCCTGCACTGCTTTCCGGGCCATGAGGAGGGAGCTGGATGGGAAGTGGAGTAGCTGGGGTTTGAACCAGCAGCCATCACAGGATGCTCCCTGTGGTTCCTGTTTGCCTGCTGGGGTTGACTTGAATTCGGGGTGCAGAGATGCTGTGGGAAGTCTGCCGTGTCCCTGACCCGGGCCCTTGGCAGGCACTTATGGGGCTTTGCTTTGTTTTCTCAGCGGCTGCTGGCCAAGCTGCGAGGCTGGGAGAGGCTGGACGAGGCCACAGGCCTGGACCTCAGGTAGGGACGCCGCAGCAGCCGGCTCTGGCCCCGTCCGCCTGGGACATGGGCCCCCCTTCTCTCCGCGCTGCCCTGAGCGCTCTGTGGGCTGGCTGCTCCACTGCTGGGAGCCACGTCCCCCTACCCAGCCTTCTTGGGGTGCTCACGGCAGGAGACAGCTGAATGGCTGCTTGGGCCAGTGGTGGCAGGGGTATGGCTGTGGGCAGGGCGCACTGGCTCTTGGGGACAGGGCGTCATCACCCGTGGACACAAGCCCCAGGGTTGTCGGCCCCCGAGGCCCTGCTGCAGCCTGGCCTGTGCTGAGCCCAGTGACGTGATGGGAGGACGCTTGAGCCCGTGTGGAGCGGCTGGCTCCCCGCCCTGGTGCTGGCCCTTTGCTCCGACGGGGTGTGGCCCGGGGTGGGCCCTCAGTTGTCCCTGCCTCCGGGCTCCAGGTGTGTCCCAGGCCGGGCAGAGACGGCCGCCGCTGGCCCCGCTGGCCCTGGCTGGGAGGCTGGCCTCCGCTCTCGGCTGCTGTTTGATGCCGCTCAGAGCCACGGCTGCTGCTTCCGCTTGAAGTCGGCCCGCAGGTGCTGGGCTTGTGGCAGGCAGGCCCCCGCAGGGCCCGAGGCTGCGTGTGGCTAATTAACTGCTGGAAAGATCCCTCCTGCTCCCAGGGCACTTGGTCTCGGGGGAGTCACTGTGACTTCTCTGTGCAGCGAGATCAGAGACCTGTGTGCCTGAGTGGCGTTGGAGCAGATGGTGCCCGTGCCGGCTGGGCTTCTGCCAGCGTGGTCCCGTGTTGCCGGAGCCCTTTGGTCTCTCTCCCACGCCTGAGGCCCTGGGCTGGCTGTGGCTGGTGTGGGGCACTGCTCCTTGGTGACATGCCCTTTATGGCAAGGTGCTAGGTCAGGGTCGGGAGGCCGGGCAGAGGCTGGCAGAGGCATGACTGCGGTGCCCCCACCAGCGTCAGGGTGGGCAGCAGGGTGGGTGCGTGCCGTTCCCTGTGGGCCTGCAGATGCCAGACCCAGTGAGGAGTACTCATGTTGTGGTCCTCCCTTGTCGGGAGGTGTTTCCTGGATGACACCGACCGCCCTAGTGCCCGGCTTGGCCCTGGGGTCCTGTGGCAGGCGCCTCCCTTTTGGGCAGGTCTCCTGTGCCAGCTGCCTCAGGGCGGCCTGTGCCCCGAGCATGGTGAGGGTAAAGGCTGTGTGGCCTCAGCCGCCTCCGGCCTCCTTCCTGTGGGTCTGTGGGTCGTCGATTGCTTGGCCTGCATGTGGCCGTTTTGTGGCCGCTCCTGGAGAGTCAGAAATACAGGTTCCCAGGCCACACGCAGAGCCACGGTCAGTGTCTGAGGGCTGTCCCGGGCACTGGGGCGGGGCGGGCTGTGGCGTGCTGGCCTTTCTTCCTTCTAGCTGGCAAGGAGGGAGGTTGGGCAGTTCCTGGAGATTTCAGAGCCGGGAGGTGCCCGCGTAGCTGTTAATGGAACCAGGTGAGGTGTTGGGAACAGCAGGCAAATGCAGGTGCAGCGAGGGTGGGCTCCCAGAAGGGTGTGACACACACAGCACCTGTAGGAGATGCCCACAGTGACGCCTCCTGGTGCCAGGGCCGCTCGAAGCCCCAGGGGGCCGGCGGTGTCGGCTGGCTGGCTGCGGGAGTTGGGGCTTGGGTGGCAGCCTGCCTCCGTCGGGGCTGAGGAGTGGCCACCACTAGGTGGCGCCCGTGCCCTTGGCCAGCCTGGCTTGCCACGGGGAGCGGCCTGCGCTGCCTCTGGGCTGCTACCCGGGCTTTGGCTGTCAGGAGCTGGAGGGTCTGCATGCCGCCATCCTGCCCGTCTCTGCTGGGCACCAGTCGCCTTTGGTCTTGTGCTGCTGCCCTGTCCCCAATGAGGATCTCTAGGGACCTCAGGACATGGGCTCAGGCTCTGCCCTAAGGATGTGCTCCTTGGCCCTCTCCTGTGCTGGTCAGGAGGAGCCCTGAGAGCTGAGGGGGTGGGCTGAGGCTGGCAGCATGCACTGACAGTTAGTCTCTTGGGCTAGGAGGCCCTGTTGGTCAGGCTTGTCCACCCGTGTCATGTCCAGCACGCAGGATCACGTGGGCCAGACAGGCCCGTCCGCCCGTGTCTTGTCCAGCACGCAGGATCACGTGGGCTAGAGGCTGACAGGCTCGTCCACCCGTGTCTTGTCCAGCACGCAGGATCACGTGGGCTAGAGGCTGACAGGCTCATCCGCCTGTGACGTGTCCCTTGCACTGGCCAGTTGGCTGCAGGCAGGGGCACGCCAGGCCTTAGAGAATGGGGGCGAGGCAGTGCTGGGTGTGCAGTGGGTGGGGCACAGACACGCTCAGGGGGCCCCGCTTTCTGAGGGCAGTGGGCGGCGGCCAAGGCATGAATGTCTTCACGGTCCCGGCAGCCAGAGTTGACCGGAAGGTTTTCCTGGCAGGGCCGGCTGAGTCTGGGAGTGGGACAGAATCGTGATGAGCAGAGCTGCACAGGGGCAGGTGTGTGGTGTGTTGGGGCTCAGGGAGGCTTCCGTGCCAGGCCCAGACTGAGAAGGGGCTTGTCCTGGCAGTGCCCGGCACTTCTCCCCCACAACCCCCACAGTGCCAGGTCCCTTCTGCAAAGTGCTGAGTGCCAGCGCGCTTTTTGACCTCAGACTGTTGGCAGGGAAGGAAGCTGTGTGCAGGCACTGTCATCTCACAGAGTCTGGGGCTGGGCTCCACGAGGCTCCGGCAGGCCACGGGTGGCATTTCCCCTCATGGCTCTGTGTGGGGTCCCGTGTTGGGGTCTTGGAGCATCCGGATCTCCGAGTTTGGGTCAGGGTGTTCAGCCTGTGTCACTGGATGATTGACAAGTCACAGCAAGCCGGGGCAGGAACTCCTCAGCCTGAGGAAGGGCTTCCCATGAAGTTGCAGCTGACACCGCCCGGGTGGCTAGACCAGCCACGTCCCCTCCGCAGGGGGAGGTTCACCCAGTGTCCCCACCATCCAGGAGGGCAGTGCAGGCGGTCGGCGACGGCCGAGGGAAAGCTGTCCCCTTGCGGAGGCCCCGAGGTGTGACTGGTATCAGAGGTGACAGAATCACAGGAGTCTGGGCCAGTTCATAAAAGTCAGTGGCATTTGTTTTTAATCCAATGACGTAGCCGTCTCCAGGATGTCGGAAAGACATCGGTTGCTTAGAGGGGAGCTTCATGCAGTGTGGCCAGGTGCCGTTCAGAGAAGTGAAAGATGACAGAGAAAGGGAGATTGTGAGACGCAAACCTGTCCCCGCTGGCCTTGCCTGCCAGCACAGTACTGCCCCCAGGCTGGCGGGAGGTGCTGTGCCCAGTGGGGCGGCTGCCCACGGCCCTCGGGCACATGGCCACCTCCTCAGCGTCTAGCAGGCAGTGCACAGGGCTTGGTGGGGCCTGCAGCCCCCTGCCTTCCCCAGGAAGCCCATCCTTTGGGATTTTGGTTGTTCAGACAGGTGCAGCTGCGGGTGACCAGCTGGCCCTTGGCACCCCTCTGCCCCAGGGGTTGTCATGCTGCCTCTATCTTTCCTGGCCGTGCCTTACCTTGAAGCTACCCAGGAGCTGCCAGTTGCCAGCTCTTTCTTATTTATTTATTTTTAATTTAAAAGTCACACACACACACACGCAGAAGGTCTTCTGTCTTCTAGTTGACTACCCAGATGGCTGCAATGCTGGGGCTGTGCCAGGTCGCAGCTAGGAGCCGGGGGCTTCATCCAGGTGTCCCACGTGTTCAGGAGCCCAGACGTGTGGACCATCCTCTGCTGTTTCCTCGGGGGCATTAGCAGGGACCTGGATTGGAAGTGGAGCAGCTGGGATTGAACCAACACCCATGGGAGATGCCAGTGCTGCTGCAGTGCTGCTGACGGTCCTGTGGGTGCCTAAGAGCTGGCCTCCACGGGCGTGCACAGCCAGACTCGGACACTGCGCCTTCCAGTAGTGTCAGGGCCTGTGTCACTTGCACCCTGGTCAAGCTGCTGACCCCGCCCACCGGGAGCAGGAGCCGTTGGCTCGCCTGCCGGGTCGGGGCTCCCAGGGAGCGGGGCCGAGGCCAGCACGGCTCGGGAGAGAGGAACTGTGCCCTGAGCCCATGGAAGGCTGTGGGAGGCCTTGGAACCCCCTGCTTTGCTGCCTCTGCCTGGATCCGTGGGACTTGGGCACTGGTGCTGCGACTGGCATCGCTGGCCCCAAGAGGGACTTGCATCGGAATGAGCTGTGGTGAACCGGAAGGCAAGAGGCCGTGCTTGGTCCCCACCTGGCCCATGGTACAACTGGGTTGGCTCCCTGGGCTCTGGCTGGGTCTCTAGTGCCCGGGGTGGGCCCAGCTCCCTGGCAGTGCTGGAGAAGCACTCTGTGTCTCCCTGGCATGAGGCTTGCTCTGTCCCCTGCCTGTTGAGCAGGACATTCCCTGGACGCTGGACTCCCTCACTGAGTCCACATGGGCTCCTGCAGTGTGGACGGGCCCTGCAGTATGGACGGGCCCTGCAGTGTGGATGGGCCCTGTAGTGTGGATGGGCCCTGCAGTGTGGACGGGCCCTGCAGTGTGGACGGGCCCTGCAGTGTGGATGGGCCCTGTAGTGTGGATGGGCCCTGCAGTGTGGACGGGCCCTGCAGTGTGGACGGGCCCTGCAGTGTGGATGGGCCCTGCATTGTGGACGGGCCCTGCAGTGTGGATGGCCCTGCAGTGTGGACGGCCCCTGCATTGTGGACAGGTCCCTGCAGTGTGGACGGGCCCTGCATTGTGGACGGGTCCCTGCAGTGTGGACGGGCCCCTGCAGTGTGGATGGCCCCTGCAGTGTGGATGGGCCCTGCAGTGTGGACAGGCCCTGCAGTGTGGACGGGTCCCTGCAGTGTGGACGGGCCCCTGCAGTGTGGATGGCCCCTGCAGTGTGGATGGGCCCTGCAGTGTGGATGGGCTCCTGCAGTATGGATGGCCCCTGCAGTGTGGACAGGCCCTGCAGTGTGGACGGGTCCCTGCAGTATGGACGGGCCCTGCAGTGTGGACGGGCTCCAGGC